ACCGGAGGGAGAGGAAAGGTTGAGACCTACAACGGAAGAACAGGATGTGGATAACAGGTTGGAGCCCGCGGGAGAATCACGAGAAGATGATGACAGGCCCAGGCCTGTGACTGAGGAACCGGGTGTGGACAACAGGCTGAGGCCCGTGGCAGAAGTACCGGAAGATGGTGACAGGCAACCTGTGACGAAGGCACCAGAAGGAGACGACATGCTGAGAGCTGAACCGGAAGAACCCGATGTGGATAATAGGTTTGAGCCCGCGGGAGAGTCACGAGAAGATGACAACAGGCCCGGTCCTGTGACGGAGGCACCAGAAGAAGACGAACTGAGACCAGCGACGGATGAAGAAGACAGGCTGAGACCTACGACGGATGAGTCTGGTAAGAAAGAAACAACAGTGCCTGTCACCGAGGCCACTGATAGACAGGACAGTAACTTCAGACCTGCAACTGAAAATGACAGACCGACCCACGAAACCGTTACACAAAGAACCTCGACTCTAGGGACTGTAGTATTCGGTACAAAAGACAGACCTGGACTTGTAACTGAAGCAACTGGTAGAGACGACAGACCTTTATCTACGTCCGTGTCTGTAAATGGACAGTTCATAACGTTGGCTATGACTACTAACCTACAGGCTAGAATAAGACCTACGACGGAATCAAGACTAGAGACAAGACAGACACCCCGACCTGTGACCGAATCAACCACAAAACATGTCGGCACATCTCTGGAGACAGAGGAGCCCGAAGGAGAAAGCAAACTCGGACCTACGACCGATTACACCGATGTACGATTCGGACATGCGACTCAAATGACCGATACTCGAGCTAGAAGCACACCGTCGACGGAAGCTACGACGGGTATAAATACTAAACCGACGTTTGCGACTGACGTTACTGACGGCAACTTAAGACCTATAACTGAAACTTCGACTGAAGCCACTGACAAACAAAACAGGCCAAATCTTGCGACTGAAGTATCTGATAGCCAGGACACACATGTGGGTACAACTAGAGCCCCTGTCAAGCAAGACGACTCGAGAATTACAGACGAAGTAACTGACGGACAGAAAACTTCTAAAATTGCAACTCAAGCCCTCAATAGAAATAGAGCCACAACCGAGGCCTCAGAAAGCCAGAACAAGCTTCGAGCTGCTACTGAAGCCCCTGAGGGACAGGACGAATCTAGAAGTGCAAATGAAGTCCCTAGTGGACAATTTATTCCTAAAATTATAACTGACGTTCCCGATAGATTGGACAAAAATTCTGTTGCAACTGAAGCAACTGCTGATCATGATGTATCTAGAGTTGCAGCTGAATCCCCCGAAAAAAGACAAAGCACAGCAGCTATTACAACTAAAAATCCTGACAGGCATCACATGTCAAAGCTTGTGACTGAAATACATGAGAAGCAGGGCCTAGCTAGTACTACAACTCAAGCCTCCGGCAGGCAAGACGCATCTAGACAAGCAAATGAAATACCTGACGTGGACGTAACTGACGCCCCCGACATACAGGACAGATACATGTATCAAGTTGCAACTGAAACAACTGACAGACAGGGCACTACTAGAATTGTATCTGACGCTCTCGATAGACTGGACAAAAATATAGTTGCAACAGAAGCAACTGCTGAGCACGACGTATCTAAAGTTGTTACCGAGGCCCTCAACAGGCAAGACGATGTAAGGCATACAACTGTGCCACCTGACATAGCTGATATCACAACTGACCCAACTAATGGGCAAGACGAGTCTGGAATTGAAAACGTGATACCTTACTGGCAGGGCATTCCTAGACCTGTAACAGACGCTCCCGACAGAATCGACAAAAATATAGTTGCATCAGAAGATTCTGACGAACGGGACATTCTTAGTATTGAAACGGAGGCTCCCGATAATCAGTCTATATCTAGAGATGCAAATGAAATACCTGGTGGGCAGGAGACAGCTAAAATTGCTACTCAAGCACCCGTTAAGAAAGGCCAACCTAAAGGTGCAACTGATGCATATGACAGGCAAGACAAATCTAGAAGTGAAAATGAAATACCTGACGGCCAACGCATACCCATGGTTACAACTGACGTACCCGGCAAACATAGAACTTCAACTGACACTTATAACTGGCTGGACAGGCAAAGGGTTACGACTGACACACAGGACGTATCTAAGGTTGTAACTGAATCAACTGACTTTAGTGACGAATCTAGAAGTGCAAAGGATATACCTGACGGCCAAGACATATCTATGATTACAACTGAAGTAACCGAGAAACATAGACCTGCAACTGAAACCTATAACTGGCTGGACAGGCAAAGGGTTACGACCAATACACAAGGCATGTCTATGGTTGTAACTGACAAGCAAGACAAATCTAGAAGTGAAAATGAAATACCTGACGACCAAGAAGTATCTATGATTATTACTGAAGCACCCGGTAAACATAGAACTGCAACTGACTCGTATGTTACGACTTACACACAAGGCGTACATTTATCTAAAGTTGTAACTGAATCATCTGATGGGCAGGGTATTCCTAGAACTGTAACTGACGCCCCCAACAGGCACGACGGCATGCCTAGAGTTGTAACAGAAGCAACTGAAATAACTAGCGTTGCAATGAAAGCATCTGACATACTGGACGGATCTAGAATTTCAAATGAAATACATTACGAACATGACATCCGTGGCACTGCAACTGAAAGACAGGATATACCTAGTAAAATTACGACTGAAGCAACTGACAAACAGGACAAACCTATTACAGCAACTGAGACGTCAAGAACAACGACGGTAACATCTGAAATGCAAGACGTACATATGACTGTAACTGACTCATCTGACAGGCAAGACGAACATAGAACTGCAAATGAGATTCTTCATGTTGTTAGCTATACGACTGAGATGCCTGGCAGCCATAATGTTCCTATAAGTGCAACTCAAGCCCCCAATAGCAAAGGCATTCCGGGTCCCATATCTGCGGCCACCGAAAATCAGGAGCATTTAGAAATTCCAACTGAACTATACAACAGCGAAGGCCAATCTAGAGTTGCAACTGAGATCTCTGACAGACTGTTCATGTCTAGAATTGTGACTATAGCCTCTGAAATCCAGGGCATACTTAGACCAGTGACTAAAGAACCTAACAGACATGGAATTCCCCGACTGACTACTGAAGCACCAGGTAAGAGTGGCATGACTCCCTAATTAGGGGAAATCTGACAGGTAATGTCTTTTTAATCACTCAAAATAAGGCTTGCACTTCCTGAAAATGAGACACTTGCATAAATTTCTTGAAATAGAGAAAACCTCTTTAGGTAGATCTCGGAATAAAAGGAGCACCCCTTTTCTGCTAAAGCTGCTTGAAGGTAACCACTTCTAATGTAGATAAATCTCCGCCAGAGTAAACTTGCCACTCCTCTTTAAATGACCACTCCTCTTTTAGATAAATGTCCTGAATTAATAACAACCCACCTCTAGCTTGTTGTTACTCACGTAACTACTCTTCTAGATAAATATCTCACAGAATAAGATGATCTTCTTTCCTTTAATCACTGGAGCAGCTTCTTGTATCCTACGAACTGCAAAATTATAGTACTTTTAATAGTTGTCCTATTCTACACAATCCATTCCACCATGGTTTAGCATTTCAATCTTCTGTATACATCAAGCCGTTTTCTCTTCGCTTCCGAATCACCTTATATGCATAACGTTACATCGTTAAGAATGCCATTAGATCTGAGTGTGTGTGTGTGCACGGTGTGAGTGTGGATAACTAATACTCAGTATAGGACAATGCTAACGTTGGATTTTGTGCTCTGTAGGAAAACCTGGTTCCAGACAACCAGATGGCTCCGTCGTACCAGGTATGACCCTTAACAAAAACATTTATCATTGTGAAATAGGCGTAATATGTATCTACGTACAGATACAAGTATCATTCATATACTAAATATTGACTAAGATACTTACATTTATTGTAGCTAGTTCCAGGAGGAACTAACGTAAGGTAAGATGCCCAAACAGGTCGTATTGAGGTATAGGTTTGCATACTATTACATGCATCAAGGTTTTATTTCTGTGCCTGTGTAGGACGACCTCTGACACCTGGGTCCAGGCGGCCAGACGGATCTGTCGTCCCGGAAATCCCCTCAGGTATGGTCGGTTATACACGGCCTATTGTTTGTGTCTACAGTTTGTATCTGTACGCAATTCCGTTTATGCTCAGGTCCCAATTGCGCCAGTGCCCGTCGGGGATGTAGCCCTGGCCGGTCCCCGGCTGGTCTGTGACGTAACAAATTTGTCCCGGTGGATTGCCGGCAACCGGAAGGGTACCTCTCGGTGTTCTCACGGTTCAGTGACGGCGTGTTTTTGTCAACAGGGCCCGGGTAGAATTTAAGTCAGAACTAAATTCTTCTCGGCCGGGCCGAAAAATAGCCCTTTAGCCACAGGGTGTCCTGCGCGACCACGTAGGAGTCACGCCTAAAAGTGCCCTAAAACAGCCCGGGAACTACCGGCCAGGGCCACTTGTTCCAATTAGGACCTAAGCATAATGCTACAATACCGGAATAGGCTAGAGCCCGCGTTTGTTTCAACTATTTCTCTCCACAGGAACCAACCGACTGCAGTTCCCCAAACCTCCATCCACCGACAACTACGCCGAGGTGAAGCCTTCCCAGCCGTTCAGCCCGGAGAGCTTCACTATCTCCTTCCTCATGAGGTAATGCGCGCTGCGATGTGTAATTTTAAGTGTGTAAGTGTTCGCCCCAGAACCAAGAGGTCCCGAGTTCGAGTCCTGCCATGCCACTGATCTTGTGCCTTTGGGCATGACACTTTACACGAATTTTATCACTTAATTAACTCAAGTGAAATGAGTATTGTCTGTCCTGTATTTGTCCTCTGCGTTGGTGGCGGCATAAAATAAGTTGATATAACTTGAGTTTTCCGTCATCATGTTCAGTCATGAAATGTTGGAATACAAAACAAGAACCTGATGAAATCATTCCTTCATTAATAGACTTTACGCCACCAACAAAAGTATATTATACTGCCTATTGAGGTCTGATTGTCAGTTCAGAAATACGTATTTAAAAATTTGTATATATTGTTGTATGTTTAGTCATGTTTCTGTGGTTTTATGTTTGTACTATGGGGATAACCTGAAATAAAGTCATTCATTCATTATCCACCTACCTGTCATCTCATCAGGTCAGCGGAGCCTCTGTGGCGTTTTGACGGGCAGAGGTGGACCTCCGTCCCGGGCGCCCCAGCCGGCACAGGCACGGTGTTCTCCTACGCCGTCCCGGAGGAGGACAACGAGATCCAGTTCTACGGAGACTCGACCTCTCGCATTTACAAGTTCCTGGTGGATGGCAAGCAAGTCGACGTGGACATCCCTCAGGTACTTATGCCATTCATAATCCTCGACTAGTGTTGAAAGTAATTGTGATATTTTGGCACTTTTGGTGCATTTTTTTTAGGAATTTCTGAATGACTGCAGTGGCGTCGAATGGCCAAATAGCTAGGATACGAAAGCTAGAAGTCACGGGTTCGATTCTTGGCATTATTATGAAAATTCTGTAACAAAACGTACATACATGGTGTTGAAATGCCTTCCGATGAAACACTAAAGACTTTCAAACTAGGGGAAGCCACTTCACACGATTTTTTTCATTCCACTTTGGTGTAAATGGGTACCTGACTTCGGTTGGGGAGGTAAATAGCAATGCCAATGGAATGAGAGGGATGGGGTCCGCCTTCCTATACCGAACCCTAGACACAGTGGTTTGTAAACAACCCACTGCCACTATGGCATACAACAGGCTATGGGGCTCCCTTTACCTTTACTTAATTGAATGACACCCGAAGCCAGTCTTTAAACCTGTTTTCAAAACCTCAAAGCTGATTATTATTGTTTTTATTTCATTTTATGAAGATTTACTATCACCTCTTCAAGATGTCACATCTGAGACCAGACTGTAAGGTTTGAACCACTTACACCGGAAAGAACCCCTGCTCTTTTCGATAACTGTGGTGGGATCTTTAACGTGCTCAAGGAGTGGCTCTCTCGAACACGGGACCTCTGGTTTTACGTCCTGTCTGAGAGGACGTCCCTAGCTATATAGCCCAAGCTAGGTACTCATTTACACTTAGTCTATTGTTTTGTTTTTTCCCTTCTTTACCAGGTTCTTGATGGCGAGTGGCACAATGTGGTGATCACTTGGGACGGGCGGACCGGGGACTGGGAGGTGTTCGTCGACGGGATAAGGCGTGCTGATGGCCGGAGGCTGGCGCCGGGCCACACCGTCCGGCCTGGCGGGACCTGGATCCTCGGGCAGGAGCAGGACACCGTGGGCGGAGGCTTCGAACCCTTCCAGGTTTGTTTTGTCTTTTGTGTCGTTGGCTTTGCATTAGCAGGTTTTACACGCTTCTCCAGAGCACAGACACAATGAAGATACATGTGCTCTAAACAAGTTTTCAACAAGTTTTCGTCTAGTTCTGTCGGTTTCCAAGGGATGTTAGCACTGAGATCCTGTGCCATGTGTTCCAGCCTCTTTGTCTTCTAGTAATTGCGGCCTCTTTATCCTTGATCTGCTCGATCTAGCAGTATTTGAGTGCCGTTGGCTCGGTAAGCGATTCACGGATTGGCACAAGGTCTACAGACACACTTTCCTATCTCGCAGGCGTACGTCGGTGAGCTCGCAGAGTTCCACATCGGGCAGAATCGGTTGAACATGACAAAGACTCCTGATTGTCACTGTCACTTTATGTACATGTACGTGAGCATAGCCTTGCATAACGTATACTCTGGACATGACATTTTTGCAGGCGTACGTGGGAGAGCTTACAGAGTTCCACATCTGGCGGAATGTTCTGGACGAGGACGACAGAGACGACGTCCTGGCGGGAAGGCGAACGGGAGATGTTCTGGACTGGCGAACCGTCAGGGTTGAACCGCGCGGGAGAGTGGACATGGCGCCGTACGACTCAGGTCAGTCGGGTACTTTTTGTTTGTTTGTTTGTTTGTTTTGTTTGTTTAGCATAACAAGGAAACCGCCATTAGGCATAACATACCAGTGTCGTACATGTAAGTACAAGGTACATAAGACCGGACTGTAAGGTTTGAACAACTCACACCGAGAAGGACCCCTGCTCTTTTCGATAAGTGCAGTGGGTTCTTTAACGTGCGTGGGGTGTGGCTCTCCCCAAACACGGGACACGTAAGATATTCGGTAAGTCGGGTACCTTGACGATCTATAACGCTCTCTGTGTCAATCTACTAGGGTTGCAGCGTTGACAGCCCCTTAAATAATTTCATTAGGTTGATAACTGACTTTAGTTTAGTCACACCCAAATGAGTTTATAAACTGGATAAACGGATTCTATCCTCTGTAGGGCGACCTGAGACCCCGGGGTCCAGACGACCAGATGGCTCTGTCGTACCTGAGATCCCCTCAGGTAGAATCGCCATTTTTATACTTCCCTAGGATCCTGCTATCGTCTCGTTTTTTTTTTTTTTGACTGCCCGTATAATGTGTTAATAGTATGTCAATTTGTATATTTAGACGTGTGTGCATGGCAGTTTTGAAGAACGCAGAAAAATTTAAATGTGATACCTCGGTGAAAGTTAGACATCAAGGTAATAAGATACGCCAAAAACAGTTACTCAGACAACTGGATATGATTTTGGAAACGGTCAGACGTTTCAGATAGCATCCGCTACCCTTCGACAGGGTCCTTTCTAACAACTCCACAGTGTCACTGACGAAGAGTAGTGGATGCTACCTGAAATATCTGGCCATTTCCAAACCCATAACGAGTTGTTAGAAAAACTTCTTTTTTTGCATAAAGGCGAAACCACCTACATGTAGTATCTGGATCAACCCAAGATGATGTACATTCCCGTTTTCACCTGTTCTCACAATAGGCAACCGACTGTCGTTCCCGCACCCTCCGTCCACCGCTAACTTCGCCGAGGTGAAACCTTCCCGGCCCACCAGCATGGACAGCTTCACCATCTCCTTCCTCATGAAGTAATTTGTTCAGCCAAACCTATTTATAGTGATAGCGGGCTTAGAATGTTCGAGTCGACATGCAGATGAACCCTAAAGACAATTTTTTGTTATGTCGGGGGTGGGGGGTGGGGTGGTGGGGTCGAATTCCGACTGTTTGGGTCAATCGCATGCCTCTTCCACTTAGTCTTTACGATTACTCTGTGTTTGTTAAACTTCTTGAAAGAGATAGCGGAATGTACCCGGTACAATCCTGCACATACTATCATCATGTAAAAAGATCGCCAAAAAACATTTACTCAAGCAAAATCATATCTAGTTGCTTGAGTAGCTGTTTATTGGCGTATCAATACAGTATTTCCTGTGTCTTTCCTGTCACGGTAAATAGAAGATGCGCTTTACAATGATCGTGAGTGAAGCTTGTACAATCCGTTTCAAATTTCATCCTTTAGGTCAGCGCAGCCTCTGGCGTTTTGACGGGCAGCGGTGGACCTCCGTCCCTGTGCATCTGTCACTCTCTCTGTAAACAATTTTCCCCCTTCCCTGTCCATGTCACAGTCTATTACTCCATGATCTACCAACGTGATGAAACTATTCACGCGTACCTATTATCTCTTTAGATCAGCGGAGCCTCTGTGGCGTTTTGACGGGCAGAGGTGGGCCTCCGTCCCGGGCGCCCCCGCCGGCACTGGCACGGTGTTCTCTTACGCCGTCCCGGAGGAGGACAACGAGATCCAGTTCTACGGAGACTCCAGTACGCGGACATACAAGCTCCTGGTGAACGATGAAAGAGCGGATGTGGATATCCCTCGGGTGATTTTTTTTTTACCTTTGCCAACAAGTTTATCTATTTGTATCTGTATAGCCGGTATAACCCCCTTTCGGCGTAACACACACGTATGTTTTGATATACTGCCGTAGAAGGGGCTCGGATGGGAAATCGGGCTTGATGTTGCATCCCATCCGATCCTGATGTCCAGTGCGGGCACCCGGTTTCAGACATATCCCCGCGGACGTAGAAATGCATCATGGACACATAAAAAGGACAAATTTAAAAGTTGGGCCGCAAAATACACTATAGCCGACGCTCTCCTCATTGGTGTCATAATTTCTTTTATAGGCCAAGACCTAATTACAAGCGCAATTTCATCAATCAATCCATAGCTTATTGTGTTATATTCAGCCAGAGCGTCTATAAACAGAGCATTGAATTTCTGAACACTTTTTTTTTCTCAAAACGACCACCAGGTTCTTGACGGCAAGTGGCACAACGTGCTGATTACCTGGGACGGACCGACCGGCGAGTGGACAGTGTTCGTGGACGGGATAGACCGGGCCCGCGGCCGGGGGCTGGCGCCGGGGCACACCGTCCGGCCCGGCGGGACATGGATTCTCGGGCAGGAACAGGACACCGTGGGCGGAGGCTTCGAACCCTTCCAGGTTGGTTTGACTCTTCCCTTTGCAACTTTTATTCACAATCCACGACTACTGCACATAGTAAAGAAACGTCGGACGTAAATTAGGAGGTCCAGTGTTCAGGAGAAACACACTTTTAGCACGTCAAAGGTCAAAGTTTTTCCCGGGCAAACCTTACAGTCTGGACTCAGGTTTGAAATCTTGAAGAGGTGACCTGTTAGGTCAATCCTTCCACAAATGTGTTAAATCTCAATAAAAAAACTAGATGTACATATTCAATTGCAAGCAAATCTCCTTAAGGATAAATTACGGAGATTATTTCATTATCGCATCCCTTACTCTTTCTCAGAGTCACCAAAGTGAACTGACACATTGATGTAAAGGAACTGAAAAAAATACGGTTGAACATAACAAAGACTCTTTTGTCACTGTATGTACATGTACATGAGCATAGCCTTGCATAACGTATACTCTACTTTTTCTCTGTACATTTCCATTTTCGCAGGCGTACGTGGGCGACCTTACAGAGTTCCACATCTGGAAGAGGGTTCTAAGCAAGAAGGAGAGAGACGAGGTCCTGGCAGGGAGGCTGGTGGGAAATGTTCTGGACTGGCGAACTACTTATGTGGACACAAAGGAAGGTGCGCGGCCCAGACCCTACCTACCCGGTGAGTCAGTCACTGAAAGTGAAAGTAATCTCGAACCAGTTTAGCTCATTGAAGGAAGAGCTAATCTTCCACTGGTCGTGACAGAGAAGACAGACGTTATGTACAGTATTTACAGGTTCTTTGTACCGGGGAAATTCCCCAAGCCCTTTTTCGACAGGCACAATGAACAGTGGACCACGGCTTAACGTCCCGTCCGAAGGACTGCGATCCTAAACAGTAGCGTGCATGTCGGGTGAGCGACAACAGCCAGGATTCGAACTCCCAACCTGTTAGTCCTATACGACTCGAATACTACATGTACAGCGTTTAGTCATCATGGACATGAATGTGCAAATAAACATCTTTGTCATTTGTTTAATTTTTATATTCCAAACAAGTAATCACAAGACGTGGTGATGACACACTCAAGTTTTTTCAACTTATATTAATGCTGCCACCAACATAGGGGACAATATAATACTCATTTTCACCTGAGCGAAGTGAGGAGAGTCATATAAAGTGCCTTTCCCAAGGGCACAAAATCAGTGGCATATCAGGACTCGAACCCGGGACCTCTTGGTTCCGAGTCGAGCACTCTGCCTCTACGCCACATGACGCCACACATTGTCATTTGCTATTGTGTGTATTGTCATTGTCTAACATTATAGTCTATGTCTTTTTGCAGAGAGACTGTCTCCTCCAGCAGAGGTCTTTCCGCCAGGATTCACTCCACCACCTGGAGGTGTCTATCCACCCGGTGGTATTCAAAGACCTGGAGGTATTTATCGTCCTGGAGATCTCTCACCAACTGGAGAAAGAGTACCCATCGAAATCCCACCAGAAGGGGTTTATCCGCCTGGAGTCACTCCACCGCCTGGGGGTGTTTATCCACCAGGAGGGGTTTATCCACCAGGAGGTGTATATCCGCCAGGGGGCGTTTATCCACCAGGGGGTGTTTATCCACCAGGAGGTGTTTATCCACCAGGAGGTGTATATCCACCTGGAGAAGTTTATCCACCTGGTCAATATCCACCCGGCACAAGACCTCCAGGTTTTAGACTTTATTACGCATCAACTAACTTCTTTAGAACGACTGACACACGACTGCACACACATAACAAGCCCAAATAGCGGGCCAAATGTGCCTGGGAGTCTGTACCGTCTCACGCCCTTCTCTGCTAATGATTGATACGTTTTGATGTAGATGACCTCCTATACTCTCCTCGCAACTGTATAATGGTGATGTGTGGACACTTTGGAAATGTTACAAACCCTCAATAAGACAAATGTTCTGGACAACTTCTATTTTTGTTCACACCCTGTCAATATGATGTCCCCTAGGATCCTACCGGCTCCAGTTTCCAGAGCCAGTCAGCACAGACAACTACGCCACAATCGACACAAGCACGTCCCGGGACTTTGATTCCGAGTACTTCGTAATCGCCTTCCATATAAGGTGAAGAGTCATGACGTTCTAAATTTTCTTCAATTACGTAAGCTACAGTCAGTTCACTCTGTTTTTCAGCTGACAGATGGAATTTATTGGGCAGGAAGAACTCGTACACTCCATACAGTGTCTTTAATTCGTGTTAAACGTTCACATCTGAAGCAAACACTACATGTATGTTTTGCGAAAACAATTAAAGCAATGGAACAAAAGGGTTAAATCGACCGGCCAGATCAACATTGATCTGGGGCGCTTACTATAATTATTGCGCATACTATTTGAAGTTTACCGGCTGGAAAACAGTCCAGACAGTAGCTTTTCGGGAAGCTAAACTGGAAAGTACATCTTTCCTTCCCTCGCAGAACGGACTCTCCGACCACCGGAACAGTTTTCTCGTACGCCACGGAGGACGAGGTGAACGAAGTGCAGTTCTACGGCGAGCCGGAATCGACCGTCTACAAACTCCGCGTCAACGGGGAGACCTCCGACAACATCAACATCGACAACGTACGTGTTCATGCCAATCTTTGGCACTTCATTAGCATCCCAGTCCAGCAGAATACATACAGTACATATTAGTTACTTGGGCTCTTGGCCCCGTACAGAGCATAGGCCACTCACGATCCTCTTCCATCCAGCTCGGTTTTGGGCTTCCCTCTCGACATCTTCCCAGCGCTTCCCCAAATCAGTTCAGTTAGCTCCCTCTCTGTGCCTTGCCTCCAGGAGTTTCTGGGATGGCCCCTCCTTCCCTGTACATGTTCATACAGACCATCAGCACTTCATTAGCATCTCGGTTCAATAAAATTATATACATGTTCATTAATAATTAACAGTGTAGAGTCAGGGTTTTAAGCCTTGGGGGGCAGATAAAAACTTGACGGTGATTCCTCTATATGTTTGCCTTGGCTTGAGAAGAATCTAGATGTAGATCCAGATGCACGTGCCCTGTCAAGATTAACAGGAGACATACTAGTAATTTATCTTTCTTTAAGTTCTCTAAAGATGCAGATTTAGTCTAAAGTTTTATCTGATGTTTACAGCTTTCTGAGAGTGGCACACAGTAATTACATGTAATACATGCTGTTACATATTACTTACTTGGGCTCTTGGCCCCGTACATAGGCTGAATGATGATCCTCTTCCATCCAGCTCGGTTTTGGGCTTCCCTCTTGACGTCTTCCCAGTTCAGTCAGCTCTGTGCCTCACCTCCAGGAGTTTCTGGGATGGATTCTTGATACATATCGACATGAATAACGGAAATCCTCCCTGTTGCATTAAGAACCACAAGGTTCAGAAGAAGACTGAGTGATTGAGTATATTCTGAACGTGTTATCTGTTTTCCCTTCAAGCTTTCTGATGGAGAGTGGCACACCGTCATCATAACCTGGGACGCGAGGCTTGGCAGCTGGGCGGTCCTGGTGGACGACGAGGAGCCGGGACAGGGACATGGTCTGGCGCGTTTACACTCCATCCGCCCCGACGGAACCTGGATCTTGGGCCAGGAGCAGGACACTGTTGGAGGAGGGTTCGAGGAGGAACAGGTGCAAATTGTTTTGTCCTTTCATACTGCACTCCCAGTTTTTCACCGCAAGCTCATGGGTTCAAATCCAAGCCTAGTGTTTTAGTACGCTAGTCGAATGCTACTGGTCGGAGATGCATCATCTGAATTATTGCCATGGTTTCTTGTTAACCCTCAAACACCCGAACTTTTTTTGTGACGGTAATGACCGAACGGACCAAATGGACCCCATTATGTTTCTCGCAAATTCATATTCCCTTTTGCATTCTTTCAGTAATCTTTGCACATATATTTGTTAAACATAGCCAGAAGTATATTTTGGCATGATTAAGTGTTAAAAAAATCCAGCTTATTATCATAATTTATGCAAAAATAGGATGAGGCCTGCAGACATGAACATGGGGTTGACCTTTGACCTCAAATAATTGCCAAAGGTCAAAACCTCTGAAGACCTGATGAAATCATTCCTGAGGTTACGGTTACTTGGCAAACTGCATAATATTAAAGCAATAATGCTTCTTTGAAGACATTTTTAGAACATCCGAACAATTTCGTGTGTACGAAAGTGCAAATATATGGCTGGGGTCCATTTGGACCCCAGACGGTCTCAATCAGACTTCCCCTTGTTATTTTTACAAATTTGTCCCGATCTCCAAAAAAAATTAGGAGAACTTGAAGAAGAGGTTTATTGACAAAGTCACGGGAGGAATTTTTTTCGGCTCAAAAATTTTCAAATAGCACATAAAAATATACGCCTGGGGTCCAAATGGACCCCGTTCTGGTGTTTGAGGGTTAATACTCCTTCAAAACGACATGTTGTTGCAGGCCTTTGTTGGCGATATTGCAGAGTTCAACGTTTGGGACACTCTACCAACTGAAGATTTACTGGAGAAGTTGAAGAGAGGAGAGAGAGTGGACGGCACTGTCGTGTCCTGGAGAGAGACTGAAATCAAACCCGAGGGAGAGGTCACACGGCAGCTGTACACACCGGGTAAGGTTAAAGTGCAAGGGTTGAGGTCAGGGGTTAGTAAAAGGGCCAGGAAGAGTCCGCACTTTATATACTAACTAGGTTAAACCAACTTCTCTAAATCGTGGCTAACTCATTTTTTTTTCAAAATTTGTAATGATATGTGTATCCATCATAAGCATGAACTTTCGGCCCAAAAGGGATTGAGGTAGGTTTGTCAATCTGTAGTCAAATTTCAGATCCAGCACAAAAAAAAGTTCTCTTACCTAGAGCTTTTGACCAGTCACTCTGGTCAGTAGACTGAATCAGTCAGGCTTGTTACGTGCCTTCTTTGAAGTGTGACATCAGGACCGGGTCAAAGGTATCTGGTAGCCGATGTCGGCCCTCGTCGCGGTTGAGTAAAGGGTGATTGGCCCTGATTTAAACCAGGGGCCCAAAGTCAACCAACACAATCCTCTATACCCACATGCCAAATATCATCGCCTTTCATCTGACAAATCTTGCGATATACACCAAAACATCATCCAGGCTGAGAACAGTACACACCATTTTATGGAGTGTAATAACGTCTCTGTTGCATGTTCAGGTGGGAAGGTACATGAACGTACCGCCTGTGAGAAGGAGGTTGCCGAAGCTGTGCCCATCCCCGGGTTCTTCCTGAAGGAGTGCGAGCCGCACGGCACGTACCGCACCACGCAGTGCCACGGGTCCACCGGCTACTGCTACTGCGCACACCCCGTGGAAGGGAAGGTTTACAGGGAAACAGGCGCGCGGTCGTGGGAGGGGGGCATCCAGGAGGACTGTACCAAGTACTGGCTTAAGAGAGGTAGGGGAGATATATTATTGCATGTTTATGTACAAATTAATCTTATAACTTTTTTTTCATTCGACAATCTTGTCCTCATATGTATTTTATATCATGTATACATTATATATTAATTTGCTATTGATGTAATTCGTCCATTATGATCACTATATATTTTTGTTGTGTTGCATGATATGGTGTAGTAGTTAGCAACTACCCCTCTGTAGCATTTGTATCATTAGACGCAAAGACCTGATCTGTCAGATGTCTTGCCACATACATGTGTAGGCCTAGATATGAACCACTACTGGACCAACGACGCATTGTCAAATGATAACCATCTGCAGATTATAAGTTGCGTTTCTCAAGTCCTTTTTGTCTTAAAAGTTTATCAACGAACATTTATTATCCCTTCCAGGACCTAAGACCCAGTGCCAGCGAGTCTTAAGTCCTTAGTCTAGCGAGACTCAGTTCTAGATCTTCGAAGTCTTTTTTGTAAGGTTATATTTTACCAAATTGATGATTTCTCTTTGTCATCTCTTCCAGGACCTAAGACGCAATGCCAGCGAGACCTGGCTAAGGAGTACCCGCCTGATGCGTGGATCCTGTCCTGTAACGAGGACGGAACCTACAAGACCAGCCAGTGCTACGGCTTCACCCACTTCTGCTACTGCATACACCCATTCTCAGGCACTGTGTTCCAGGAGACTGGCTACCTACCGCAGCCAGGCAGGTTCCAGAGGTAGGGATAGATCAAATATTCACTCATTCACTCACTCACTCACTCACTCACTCACTCACTCATTCACTCACTCACTCGCTCGCTCGCTCACTCACTCACTCACTCACTCACTCACTCTCACTCACTCACTCACTCACTCACTCACTCACTCACTCACTCACTCACTCACTCACTCACTCACTCACTCCAGAGGTAGGGTCACAACAAATGTAATTACACAACAAATTTATCAAGGTTATTGCACTCAAACACATCACAACTACAATGTTTATGTACAGTCCAATTATGCAAATTATGATAAAAACTGATACAATAAAAAATCAATGTATTAGTGCAGTTAAGAGCTATACCATCGTATAATATATCAACTCGAATCCTGACTCCTTTACCTGTAGGTTTGACTGTGACGAGTACTGGAGGACTCGCCAGCCTGAGGAGGTGACTTATCTAACCTCGGAGACATTTTCAGAGATCGTCCTTGAGGCACCAGGTATGTCTGTAGGACGAAATTGTCTCCTAGATCAATATAAGTACTACTTAAAGGCCAATTGTACTGTATGTACAATAAGCAATCGCTAGATTGACGGTGACATTTTTCTTGTCAATCAGTCATAGAAGTCACTTCTGTTCAGAAACTTATTTTATAATCTGGCTATCATAAGTATCATTTAATATCTAGAGTGGTGTGACTTCGGTTCACTGTTATGTCAACTCTGTGTATTTTTAATTGCGTGGCGATGTTACAATAATGTCCCTGTTACTGTTTTGCTGGGTATTTATGATTGAAAAAAATGTAAAAAGCGTCTGTAAACGTACTACTTTTCTCTTTTCTTTACTCATAGGAAATTCAAATTCTACTACTGGATAAATTACGGAGATAATATCCGGAGGTTTTGAGTGACATCCACCACTCCAGTAGTAGAGAATTTCCTAGGAGTATTGTTAACCTGGATGTCTAACCTTCATCAACGTACTTTTTTTTTTCCTGACCAGAGCTGCCGGCCCCCGTCGCTGCCTCACCAGTTGCACATGGGTTTGACGTGCCCAGGCCGAGATTCGACACGGAGACGGGAACGCTGCCCAGGAGACCAGTCTTGGAGTTCTGCATCAGCGACAATGGTGAGAGTATGAAAGCTCATTTGAGTTGGTGAAATATATGAAGAAAATTAAACTGTTCTCCAACTCAAAAACTCGCGTGTCCACAGCCCTAGGGTCATAAAGCTGATGAAGACTGAGTGATTCTGTCGAAAATTTCTGGTGAGTTAATTTTGTTGGAGAACAGTTTCATTTTCTTCAGACAATGGTAAGAACTTTTCGTTTTCTATTCAAGGAATAATTAATTCTTATTGGTAAAAGTTAAAACTTGGATCCGACACAAAAAAGCTCTCCTACTTAGAGCTTTGGACCAGTCACTCTGGCCTTCCTCAGTAGACTGACCCAGTGAGGCTCGTCACATGGCTTCTTTAAAGTCATTCGGGTCTTTTGCAAATTGTGCATATCTCAGGTAAGAATGAATTTTTAGACCTTAGAAAAAGTAGTATAAGTTGATTCATCTATAGCCTTGTACGCAGGTTAATTTTGTTGTACCCACGTGTCTGTGTGTCTAGTTACATGTATAGACCTTATGAACTTCGCTGTACTTTTGTCGTGTCAATAAAATTCTAATTAGCATGACATTGTGTACCTCACAGGTAAGAGGTACAATGTTGGTGACAGCTGGAGCGTGGACCCGTCCAACTGTACGCAGTGCATGTGTGAGGAGTTCGGGCAGGTTTGTGTGTCCATCATGTGTGACTGGCCGTACTGTGGGGAGGGCGTCTTTCCTGTCTTCACCGAAGGAGAGTGCTGCCCGGGATGTCCAGGTGAGATATATCATTATAAGTGTCATAATTAATAGTTTTTTTTTATTCCAACATTTCATGACCAAACATGGCGACGGCACACTCAAGTTATATCAACTTACTTTATGCTGCCACCAACGCAGAGTACAAATACAGTACAGGACAATACTCATTTTTACCTAAGCGAAGTGAGGAAAGTCGTGTAAATGGCCTTTCCCAAGGGCACAAGATCGGTGGCATGTCAGGACTCGAACCCGAGACCTCTTGGTTCCGAGTCGAGCACTCTGCCGCTACGCCACACGACCCCATAATAGTTGTATGATATCATACATGATATCAGTATATGGTTTCAAAACCACATTGCAGTGCTTACTACAAAATTTTGCGACAAAGATGCCTCATTTTCCATCGGGAAATGTTCAATGAGAAGTCTCTTCTGTATTTTGTATATGCCCTGCCTTATCTGTTTGCTAATGGAGGAAATAACCTAAAGCATCTAAAGCTATAAATGGGGAATCCGATTGTTTGCCTTGCTGTATTACTGACTTTTATCGTGTAACTGAAACTGTACCGTGCTTCCAGAGACGGTTACAGAGCCAGAGGAGTTAGAGCACTGACACAATTGGATCCTTAGCCTGATATTTTCCAGTCAGCAAAATTGCAGATTGCTTAATTCTTCCTCTACAATATTAAAAATTTCTCTGCAAAATGCAGACTGTATTTCTAACACTACTGTGTCGTAATTCCAGAGCCAGAGCCAGAGGAGTTGGAGCGCTGCACCATGCCCGGTGAGGTACTAAACCCGGAGACGCGTGGGTGCGAGTGCGCGTCCATCTGCCCTGCGCTGTACTTCCCTGTGTGCGGCTCGGACGGAAGGGAATACTCCAACGAGTGCGACCTGAACGCCACCGCCTGCCGAGAGCAGAGGGACATCAAGGTTGTCTCCAAGGTGTTTGTGGACGGGCCTTGTGAGAAATCTCCAGGTACGTCTCTCATTGCTATCAGGAAAATTTTAGATCGGTTTCTCTGAGGCCAAATTACCAACTTGTTTGTGGACGGGCCTTTTGAGAAATCTCAAGGTACGTTTTATTGCTGTCAGAAACACCTTAAAAATCTGTTTCCCACTTCAAACTAAAGGTTAGTTTCTCAAGATCCTTGACTTTTCATTGTAACAATTTTAACACGTTTTGTCATGTGGTTGTCAAGTGATGTATAACCATTTGTGTAAGAGCCAGCGTGTAGAAATGTAATGTTCTGCTTTGCGTTATGTAATGTTCTGCTTTGCGTTGCTTACAAAAAATGAAATGAAGTTAAAAGAGATGGACATGTTTAAAAGCTAAATGAGCACCGCTTCTCCCACCCTACAGGTGACCCAGCTGACATGGACAGTATGGCAGTGGCTTTCTCAGCACCCGTGGTCACTGAAGGTGAGGCACCAACCGTGTAGACATCACTTATGCAATAGCTTGATTATGGCACAGTCACATTTCCAAGCTGGGACCTGCCCATGGGCCCAATCATACACAAATAGTGCTCACGATTAGTTTTATTTTTTTTTAACTGATACCATTGTCTGTGTTTTGTTTTGTTTTCTTTTATATCATACTTTTCATTCTATAAGACTATCCGGCGGCCCAAGGTTGGAAAATGTGACCAATGCCATTAGAGGAAAGTTATGAATTAAAATTGCACTTTTCAATTCATTCAGGGTTTTCCTATGTTGGATTTGAAAAGTACAGTTTCGAATAATGAACCTATTTGTGCCCTGCTGCAGCCATGGCGCTGTCCCCAACCTTCACCAGTGCCAGCTCACCTGCCAGACTCTGTACTGATGCGTCTGTGTCCTTCTACGATAGCTGCAGGAAATGGTAAGATTTATCAGCCCATCTTTCTTCCAACTGGGTCCTTTAATAATCTAGAGAGAGACTTCTACAACAGCCATGTGTTAGTTCCACAGATAATATTGATTGAGTGTTTAGGTTTTAGTTTATTTTAATCTATCCGCATGCTTTTGTGGTCAGATAGCATAGACCAGTTGAATTCTTGTCTGATAGAAAGATAAGCTGCTCATAAGGAAGACAAACAACAATTTTTCGACCTACTCCTACGTCGTTACCATGACAAAATCTTCGTCATCCTTCTCCCAGCATCTGCCTGTCGCCTGGTTACTACGCCTGCTCGTCTGACACCTGTGAGGAGGGTAAGTACACAACTAATAATATGCTTCAATCATTACAAAGGAATTACCAATATCTATAAAATATAATCAATAGAAACAGGATACCAAAAGTGCACCGGTATAACCCTATTATGTTACGAGTATCCTTAAAGTTAGAAGGGAACATATGTTTCCTTGTTCATGAGACAGAAAAGCATTTAGTCGATACGATAGCTTTTTTTTCTTCATCTTGCAGATAAGTGCTATCATCCCATCCTCGGTGACAAGTATAAGGAGGGAGAAAAGATCAAGCTGGATTGTAACGAATGGTGAGGAAAATGTCAGACACAGATAACAACTTCATACTATGTGTTATGTCGACTTAACGTTACGTTTCTGCATTGCTATGTGTAATTTGTTCAGATTAAACCTGACAATGTTGTTTTGTCCTCTATCACAACAGCGTGTGCTCCGAGTCTGGACAGTGGCAGTGCACAAATTATCCTTGCCGTAAGTACTATGTTCGTCTCATAACTCTTACAACTAAGTGATGTGAACGTTTAAGTTTTTATCTTTGATGTAGTTTGAGTTTGAGGTAGTGACAAAGTAGCACATGTATTCAAACATTCAAAGATCTATCTAGCCGAACCTTACTATGTTCGTCTCATACCCTTAACACTAAGTAATGTGAACATTGTTAGTAGTGTTTCTCTTATGACTATGTAATATAGCTTGCGTTTGAGGGCCTGTTACATAGTCTCTGTGCTATATAGATTGAAGTCAAGCCTTGTTACCTTTAGTCTGCTCTTCAAGATCCACTACCCCACCAACAATGGGTAGCGGGTCTTTAGGAGCATACCAAAGCTAGCAAACAAGGCTGGACTCCAGGCTAGCAGATGTATTCAAACCTTAAAAGCTCTGCTCTTTGTCCTCAGCCGACCCTAACGGGGACTGCCAGTTCGGCGCCAAGTACAACGTGTACACGAAGGTGTGCGAGTGCAGGTCGGACTGCGCGGGGACCGTGGAGCCGGTCTGCGGGTCGGACGGGCTGGAGTACGCCAGCGACTGCCTGATGAAGCTCCGCTCCTGCCAGATGCAGAGGACCATCTACGCCACGGGATACCCGCCATGCGCAGGTATGACTGATGGGGATTTTTGTTGTTAAAAACATTAGAGATCCTATCCTTTATCCCAAATGTTATGGCAACGTATACTTACCATATTCTAGTAAGTCTCCTGTGATTATACAGCAATCATTCAACAGGCACTTAGATCTTGGTCATCAACGAAGTCAAGGCAAGAGACAGTAGTCACATTTTCATTTCTACTATGCATTTATGTAGATTATCTAGTCGATCTTACAATTTATAGTGAGCATCTCTGCATTAAAACCACTTCCTGCACATTGGACCACTTTCTGCACATTGGACCACTTTTAAATGTTTTTTTTCATCGACCCAAGTATTAAGAATACCGTATTTAGTGACCACCTGTCTTCTGTGCCGGCTTGTTCCTAGTCCATTATGGACAGATTTGACTGGAGGGCTAATTATGAGGAGGTGCTTTCTCCCCCAGGTTACAACGCGGGTTCTCGCACAGCCGGAAGGTCCGGGCCTGAAACTGCTCCAGGAGTAGCCTATGCAGCTCCTCTTCCTGATGCAAGGCCTGAGGGTGGGCAAAATGAACTTTTCTCATAGCTAAAAAGTAGTTGTGACGACTCGAGCTGTGAAAATGCCTATGCATAAAATGTTTCACAATTAAGACAATTTTCATGATATTTCAGTAAACCAGTCATTTTAGCCCAGATGAAGGTGACACATGGTCATGTAAAACGAATGGTTTTGAATGAAAGAACTTACATATTCAATTTTCATGACTTTTACAATGTTTAGGGTCGTATACTTGATGTATACGTTGATCTTTGTTCCAGATACCAGAGAAGATGTGTGTATTGTTGATGGCAGTATTGTCAAGCTTCACCAGTTCTACTTCGACGAATGCAACATGTGGTAAGTTTCGTTTCTGAAATATACTCTCAATGAAACCTATGGCTAATGTTGATTTTTCTTATATTCATAAAGAAAATTACGCTGATACCAAGACTGTGGACGAATAGATTGGACGTACGTTTTGCTAATAGGCCGTCCGTATTTGTATGTATTTCACTATAATTAGGTTAGGTCAGTTTTATCATATTTTAACCAGTAGTATAACGGCAGCGTATTTTAAATATACAGTAAGGTAATATAGAACGCTGAGACAAATGTGTAAATGACAGAACAATTTAGTACCCTATTTAGGGCACTGCGAGTCTATGCATGCTTACATTATTATGGTGTATGACATTGTACAATTTCTACTACTATCATTGATACAAAGTGCTCAGCATTAAGTTGGTCATTTTCCCTCCAGCACATGTGTAGAAGGAGGAGAGGGCCTGTGTACGAGGATGGCCTGCCCACCACGTAAGTTCTAAGGCTGACCACAGGTCGCCATTCTTATGATAAGGTTTCTGCTGTTGGCCCTGTCCTTAGTGCTGAAACACAAGTGTTGTTGTGGATCCATCCAATCAATGGAAATCACGCAATTTTCAGGCTTTCATTGCTGTAGAGCACTAACTGTTGATCACAATTGGTACATTGTGTCTAGACTCATAGATTACTACTATATTTCTGCTGTTGACGCTGTCCTTAGTGCTGAACCACAGGTGATGTTGTTGATCCACCCAATCAATGGGAAGTTATGCAGTTTTCAGTCTTTCATTGCTGCAGGACATGAAGTGTTGAATATGATCCTCAACATATTAGTGTGCTGTCTCTAAACTTAAAAATTACTGCTATATGTTTGTATTTAGTGTTGTATATTTGTATGAAAAGGAAAATCCTTATAGACCAAGCACTGCTCAGAAACAACTATCATCTGTAATATCATTACTAAATGGTTTTTCGAGTTTATCAGTAGTATTCCAATTCCTCTTAACATATGAAGTCTTCAAATCATTTACACGAGCATTTTGCTTCCCTTTGTTTCTTTTTATATTAGGACATTGTTACAGCCCGCAGAACGGCCGACCCTACAAACCAGGCAGCAAAATCAAGACGGACAAGTGCACAGAATGGTACATCTCGCCCTGAACCATATTGCCCTGATAGATTGATGAAACTTTATAGAAGAAGAAAAACTTTATCGCAGTACAATTGCACACAGTACAATGTATGGCAACAACTATTGAACAAAGTACAAAAAATATAGACCTAATGTAGAATAAAACCTATTTTTTTAGATCGAAACACTTGACGAAACAGGAGTGTCCAGATTCCGTCGCATCCGCTCGTGTTTGCTCGTATTAGTATAGAATATGGGAAGATACAGGGCGTCATATGAGTGTATCCTAGCCTATCGTGTCCAGAAATATAGTATTTCAGTCTGCCCACCAAACTGTGTTTTTCTTTATCTGAAGCACTTGCTCAGGTAGTGACTACAAGTGGCGATGTCGCCAGCTGACAACACCGGAGTGTGTCGAACAGAGAACACCTGAAATAGGTAATAGAAATTAAACAAAAATTATCTGTTCATTTCTGTAGACAGCTATTAACTTAGATACCATTTATTATTTTATCTTATGTTACTCTTTGCTATGTGCAAAATGCTTCTAAACCAGGGCTATGAATGGTCACTTTTATACAAATGCATTATTGTTTATATTCACAAATGAATTACCAACAAAGTTTTAAGGAAAGTAATTTTCAAAACATAATTCCATGTACAGTAAGTGACAGGGGCTGTTACTTAAACATCAATTGAGGCAGCCAGTTTGACTTTGCCCCATGTAGTGCTTTTACTGACTTGTATTTTCCTAATTATCTAGCCCGTGTATTTGCCGGTGATGTGGCGCCTGCACCACCGCGGCCCCGTCCTGGAGGTCCGTACCCGGAAATCGCCATCTGCCCTCCAGCACCTCCACCCCGTAAGTCACAATCAGCAATTTCATTTCAAACTAAATTCTGTAACTCATAAGTTGACACTGGCTACGTACTGCCTCATTATGTATGACAAGGAATACATTTCTAATGCATGGAATGCCAGAACATTAAAAACCTTTTCAATTCCTAGAAGCATTGCCTGCCTAGTTGGGTTTCAATAACTGTCGATCAATGCCAACCAAAGTTAGTGATTTAAGGTACATTGATATCCATAATTTGTACGCTATATAGTAAGTCTTAGATATTACATATTAAATGATAATACCGTTTTTTCCTGTCCCTGTAGCCCCCCGTGAGCTGAAGATCTGTGTTCACCCGATGACAGGGAAGGAGTTTAAGGTTGGGGAAACACTGTACGATGGATGTAACGAGTGGTAGGTGTTTTCTTACATGTTAACCAAACAATATTTCTCTCACATCTGTATAATGTACAATTGTTCATGAGAATTTTATACACGTTGATGTTAAGATGTTTGCTTCCTTTCATTTATATATATGACTCAATTCACAGTCTCTGCCTACCCAACAATGGCCTGGCCTGCACAAGAAAGTTCTGTCCCAAAGGTTAGTCTCTCTATGTGTGCGACACACTGTGAATACTGTTGAATTTATTTTGTAATCTGGTCTATGTGGACAAGGGATCGCTAAATCTAAAAATTACTAAAAATATCTAATAGACCACCAGGTGGTCCTTTTGTAGATATTTCACGCCGTATATAATGTCATCTATAATTATAATACACGTTTATGCCTACATGTATTTCTGTTTCAGACAAATGTTACGATCCAACAACGGGCGAAGAACATGAAGTTGGCCAATCCATAGACGTAGACTGCAACACTTGGTAAGTAATATACATGGCCTAATATTAATCTGTATCATAGCTACAATTCCTCGAGATCATTTAATTTTATTTTACAAAGAAATAATACTGGTTTTAACATCAGTCTAAGAAGGTGAGTTTTGTATCAAACTCAATGTTAACACCTATTTTGAATGTTGCCCTGTAGCATCTGCGGTGAGCTGGGCGTCTGGGGCTGCACCCTGATGTTCTGTCCTTCTGAGGATCCAGACAGAGGTTAGTTTGTTTGAACTTTTACTCTACCTGGATGCTCTATCCACTATCGCCAGTCCTTACCTCATGTTAGACTATAGTAGACATTAAGGAGAAGTATCATAAATCATTGACAATAGTTTGGCAGTAGAGGATCAACATACAGAGCAAGGAGGCTTCCTTATTTCTTATAAACAAATCGTAATTATTTTGGACTGGTTGTAAACGTTATGAGGTTTCAATCTACTATCTGCAACTGCAAGTCTCCAAATAATGGATCTGTTTTACATGAAATTATGTTACAGGAAAAACAGTTGCTGCAAAGCAAATGCCATCTTGAGATTATCAATGTTAGTGATGTTGTTAAATCAATCTAAGATTGCTGAATTAAATGTTGCATATTTTATTGCAGAAGAGTGTAGTTTTGGTGCTACACTAGATGAGGAGCTGAACCAGTGTGTGTGCCCGCGTGCCTGTCCCTTCCTGTACTCACCAGTGTGTGGAGAAGACGGGAACACCTACTCCAACATGTGTCTCCTGGAGGTAACTCAGCAAATCCTCATGCAATGCTTCATGTTCAATATGCTAACTTCTGGTCAAGTTGTGTAGGACCCTGTATTTGCACCACAAGTTCAAGGGTTCGAATCCTAGCCGCTGAATTGGTCTTGACCCAAATATGCACACTGCTGGTCGAGATTGCATTCCGCCATAAGGCCATGATTTCAGGCTGAAAGAAGTGTTAATTTTTTTTATCACTTTAAAGAACCCATCTCAAAAGAATAGAAGTACACCTAGCTATGCTGTGGATTAAAAGTACCGGATGTATTGAGACATGGTTATGTTGCACAGATTCAGACCTTCTAACTGGCCCCTGCATTTCCAGATCGCAAGCTGTGAGAAGCAGACAGAAATCCGTGTGAAGTTTGAAGGAAGATGCGAAAAAGAAACGGACGGTAAGGATTTTACTTCTAAGTACAAAGTTTGTTTCAGATTGTGGTAAGTTGTGAGTACGTTTTAAGAGGCATTAAGGAGGCCATATATTTATGTACCAGGGCACTCCAGCCATCACTCAACAGAGATTGTGAAATATATAAACTCCTTGTCACTTTTGCTTACGACACGTGTTTGTAACCGTAACTCTCATGAGATCACGTTGTGAAGTGATTGGTCATTCATTATCCTGATGAAGGCGACAGTGGTCGTTGAAAATGTGATCTCTGTGTAATCTCTGTGTTGAAATAAAGTTCAATATTTTACTAAGTTGTGAGTAAGTAGCTGTGACATGTAAAACCATCCATACTTACTTAGAATTACCCTCTCTCCCACCACAGAGGATGATGATATTCTTCGACCGCCTGGGACAAGGCCTGGGGATAGAAGACCAACTACTGGTGAAAGAAGACCCACTACAGGTGATAGAAGACCCACTACAGGTGATAGAAGACCAAGTCCTGATGATAGAAGACCAACTACGGGAGATAGAAGACCGACTACAGGTGATAGAAGACCAACTACCGATGATAGAAGACCAACTACCGATGATAGAAGACCAACTACTGGAGATAGAAGACCGACTACAGGTGATAGAAGACCCATTACAGGTGATAGAATACCGACTACGGATGATAGAAGACCAACTACAGGTGATAGAAGACCAACTACGGGTGATAGAAGGCCGACTACAGGTGATAGAAGACCCATTACAGGTGATAGAATACCGACTACCGATGATAGAAGACCACGCCCTCCAGCGATAACCAGGCCTGACGGAGTAACTGAAACCGGAGAGGAACCAAGACTGTTCTTCCCACCATCCACAGGAGGTAAATGTTTCATGCAACGATCAATTTCAAGTTTTACTAAATTCAGTTATTGAAAATATTACAAGTACTCAAATATGGTAGACGGACATGGAAGAAGATTTTATTAAAATACATTCCATCACTTTGTTCACAACGCTTTGTAACGATATTGGCCTATAAGTTTCAACAAGTTCTCTATTACGTTTCTTAAAGACTGGACAGATGTTGGCTTCTTGGTCTGTAGCTAAAAAATATAAAATAACACACTGTCAAAACAGTATTTAGCCTATTTTGTCTGACTAGAATCCTGCAGCTTTGGAGCGACTTACGATTCAGAGACAGGCCAGTGTTTCTGCGACATCCAGTGTACGTACGAGAGCGAGTTTGAATCTAAACAATATAAACATTAAGTTTGTTTGTTTGTTTGTTTATTGGTTCGCATATATATAAAAAAAAACAATAAAATGAACATATTACTGACAATAAAATAAAATGCTGGGGAAAGATATGAAGCCATAGTGGCTTGTCTGGGATCTTCCCCGACAAAATTAATTAACAACTGAAATAATACTGACAAATCAAATGGTAACAATAAATAACAATAAGTAGTTAGTAAATTTGATCAATATGATCAATATGATAATGGTAACAAAACAAATAGTAACAATGAGTAACAAAAGTGATTGATAAATAACGCTAATTACAAATAATATGTTAAAACATAGGTTAACAGCAATAACTCAAGAAAAAATAAATGAATTTTAAAAAGAAACGGAAATTCAAACTTATACAGATGAAATCACAGTAATAAGACATCAAATGTCGGTGGGAAATAAAAGTATGTGCTCTGAACACTGTGCTCTAAAAGTATGTGCTCTGAACACAGTAATTTACCTTCTCTATCATGTTTAGAGTCCTGCAGCTTTGGAGCTACCTACGATGCAGAGACAGGCCAGTGCTACTGCGACATCCAGTGCACGTACGAGAGCGAGCCTGTGTGCGGCACAGACGGTAATCAGTACCCCAACCGCTGCCTGCTGAAGCTGGTCGCCTGCCAGAACCAGGAGGACATCGAAGTCCGGGGACCACCACCCTGCGGGGAGGATGGTATGAATATGTTAATCTTCGCACTTTTTTTTTTGCTCTGTTTTTTCCTCTTCTCTCTCTTCTTCTTCAAACCAATGACATTAATAAGTCCTTGTCTAAACAAATAAAGTCAATGACCAGGACTAGATGTCTGTTACCATGGCAACTAGCATTGTAGCAGACTGCCTGTAGTATGTATGATATATAATAATATATAAGCAGAGCATTTTCTTACATTTTCTTACATTTTCTGGTATTATCATTATTATTTCTACTGGTCATAATTAGATTGGTCTGAATAAATAAAATTTTGTTCCAACGTAACACAAAGTTTGAGTTTGCCTAGGCTAGCAATGACTAGGTATAAAACATAGCTAGCCTTCTTTTGCAATATTTTTCTCACTTTACTCACTGAGTTTCTCAATCTTAAAACTATTTTTCAGATGACTATGTGGAACCTGAAGTTATTGGTGGAGGTAAGTTTCCACACAGTTTGTAAAAGATATATCCTCCAAAGTACTTCCGAAAAACTGTTTGTAAGTCCTTGGTGGCTGTGCAAATGTCTCTGCATCTTGTCAATAATTCTTCATTACACAATTAAAGATTTTTTTCTACCTCGTGCGTAATTTGGATCGTGACTAGATACAGGCATACACCCCTTTGTTGTACCTAATCATTACTAATGAACCATGTATTTCCCCTTTGCCAGACGAGTGTCCGACGTCGTGTGCCCAGCAGCCCATAGACCACATCTGCGGTTCGGACGGGAGGGAGTACGGAAACCTGTGCAGTCTGAGGGCCGCCGCCTGCAAGGAGGGGAGGAACATAGATTACACCGGACCTGGGCCATGCAGAGGTAAACTTACAATGGATGAATGGATGGATGAAGGAAGGAAGGAAGGAGTTAATGAATGAATGAATGAATGAAGACGGGCCTGGACCATGCAGAGGTAAGAAAAGCCCCATTTCACTCTGTGCAGAACATAGGGGTGGTGCCCATTTCCATTTCTGTAGCCCCTAGGCCACACAATCGTGCAAATACTACAGCAGGGGGCTAGCCTGCTGGTAGTGTTGTGTGTTAACCTTTCCATACCAAGTTGGTAGATTGAGCAGCATTATGGCGATTATTTCTTCTTGAGTTGAACAAAGATTATCCCTAATTCTTATGCATGTTTATACGGTGTTTGCATGTAGCATATCTTAATGTGTTTGTTTGCAGGTGCATCCAGACCCTCCCCTGGCGACCGGGCCTGTCCCTACATCAGGTGTTTCTTCCTGTACGACCCCGTGTGCGGCACCGATGGGAAGGAGTACTTCAACAGGTAGGTCTGATGTCTGTCTATGCTCAGGTAGACTCCTTCTGTTACAAATATCAGTACGAAATTTAGATGCATTTGGATGTGGTTGAAGGACGTTGAGTAGCTTTGAGTTGGTATACATTTGCAGGGTTTATTTCATCAAAATATATTTGTCTTTACAAGAATTTGATTACTGTTCTTATCGGGTTATTGTATTGGTTTGGTTAAAGTGAGTATCAAGACTGATTGATGTTTTATTGGGAAGTGTAATGGCAAGTTAATTTGCAAGTACATGTAACACGAAAGTGAAGGGTTGACAATGGACCATTTTTGAGCATTGGAAGCTAACAAATGTTGCCCACTCCCCCCCAGGTGTGTGATGAGGAAGTCCGCCTGTGTGCAGCAGAGAGACATCATGGTGTCTGAGGGGATGAGTCCACCCTGCAACGGGGGTGAGCAGGACTTTTTATTTTATCTTATCGATCAAATTTTCAGATATCAGGGTTGTATCTTCTATAGTTACTAGTACATGGTTATCTCCAAAGCGTTCTCCAGATGTTCAATTCTTCATTTCCAATTACAATTGTCTTCCCCATAAAATTGAATTGGTGTTAAAAATTTCTCTCAGAAACGCAAGCCACAATTGCTGAACTCAGGTTGTGAATAAAGAACTTAAGTTTGTTTTGAATAATTTACCGACTTGGTGACATTATTAGTATTCACTGGGGCATGTTTCCCCCAGGTCCCTTCAAGTTGACTTTCTCCAGAGAGCTCTCCACCGACAACTTCGCGGAGATTTCCGGGGACTTCGGCGGGCGGGGGAAGGGCTTCACCGTGTCGTTCCACCTGCGCACGGACTCCCCCTACAGCGGGACCATCTTCTCTTACGCCACAGAGGAGGAGGACAACGAGATTCAGTTTTATGGAGAGACCGGAAACCGCGGCTTCAAGTTCCTCGTCAACAACGACCAGACAGACTTCATCGACCTCGAGGTCAGTTGGCATCTCTTTATTACTGTAGAAATAGTTTATTTGACTTTTCATCGCGTAAGTTGAAGACTTAGTGTTTGAATTTTAGAAGCAGGGCTGGCATTAGAAGGGTCATACTTATCTGTACTTAGATTAAACGTCGGGAGGTAACAGTAAACTAAATAGTATCAAAGGACGTTTTTGGTAAAGCATTGCCAACGTTTTGGTGACCATCTCTCACCTTCCTCAGGGCAATACTGCCTTTCTTCTATTTCGCCCTACAGCTATAGGTAGTTAACGAAATCCTGTCTTTCAGTACATCTTAAACACGCGTAAAGGCACATGGAAAGAAAAAACGGAACATTTACGCATGATTGATCTTTTGCAGTGTTGAGATTTATTGATAATTTTCATTCACCGATGCCAAAAGTCCGCTTTTTTTACTTCCCAGTTGATAGACGGAAACTGGCACGTTGTCATTTGGACGTGGAGGAGCAGGAGAGGAGACTGGAAGATCTACGTGGACGGAGAAATCAGGGCGTCTGGAACCGGCATGGCTATGGGGCACACTCTTAGGTAAGCCTACGGTTTTTGCTATTACTAGTGCGTGCCTTTCAACAAAATATGGTTAATAAAAGCCAAAGCATTTACAAGGGAAATTAATTTTTCTAAAAATTTGCATAAACTGTATGGTACTCAAACAAAAAATTCAATGACCATACGTAACCCATTTGTAACCCTAACTAGTATTTTTAAGATGTCCCCAAAGTCCTCAGACACACTTCCACGCTACCTTATACAGGTGGGGAAGTCGTGTAAAGTGCCTTTCCCAAAGGCACAACGTTGGGCCACCGTGAGTATCGAACCTGAGACATATTGGTTCCGAGTCCAACGCTCTAACCGTTGTGCCACCGACGCCACTAGTAAAGGGCAGTAAACACTGAAAATGGGTAATTGAAATCTGTTAATATCCCACCCCAGGGAGGGCGGCGTGTGGATCCTGGGTCAGGAGCAGGACTCGGTCGGGCAGGACTTCGAGCTGTTCCAGGCGTACGGCGGCGATCTCGCCTCCTTCAACGTATGGAACTATGTCTTAAGCAACGAGGAGAGGAACAGGGCGTCTTCCTGCTCCTTCCAAGGAAACGTGGTGGACTGGCACAGCTCCACTCTCAAGCTGCGCGGGGACGTCAAGAGGTCGGCTTACAACTGTGGTGAGTACTTCTGAAAATAATAGTTTCAGCAGGTTGGTAGAGTATAGGATATAGGCCTGGGGTTTCCTTTAATACACAACCAAGCTTGTCCTACCTTGCTGGCATTTTGGTGTCTATCAGTTACCGTCATTGTCAGCTTCTGACTGGAGTTGGAGCTGGGGGTACAAAGTCTGCCACGTTGGGGATAGTGTTCCCCACATCAGCTACATAAAGTGGCGATACATATAAAAACATTTTCTGTCACAATCTTCTGTATTTTTGCTCCATGAATGTCGATATACATTGGGAAAGTGTGATTTTAACTTAGTATGTAGATAAGTGACTAGAATATTCACTTTTCAAGACCTAAAACTTCATGGAGCACCTTTAACCTAACATGTTGTCTGCAGGTGTTGGGCGGTGCCGGTACGGCGCGGTGTACGTGGCGGAGACAGGTGAGTGCCGGTGCCAGCAGGGTTGTCCCTACAACTACGACCCTGTCTGCGGCTCGGACGGACGGCAGTACCCGAACCCGTGCGCCATGAGGGTGGCCGGCTGCACCAGACAGGTGGACATCTACAGCACCGGACGGCCGCCGTGCAGCAATGACGGGGCAGGAGGTGGGGTTGGTTTCTCTGTATCTTAGGATCTACACTTGTTCTATTTCTCATTTGTGGTCATGTCTAATGCTTAAGTCCTGATAATATTTATTCTAAATTTGAGTACACTTGTGATTTTTGCAGGCTTTGGGGGAAGACCCGATGGAAGCTCGTATTACCCAGGTTTGTTTTGCCTCAGTCAACAGCTCAGCTGCTAATAATGCTCGAGCTCCATTAGTTAGTAGTGCTTAGTGGAAGATATTGAATGTGCTACATTTTGGGCATGGCGTGAACATAAACTTTGCTATGGCCACCCTGACTTGATTTTATGGATGGCATCCATGCGTGCATCGATTTTCGCAGTTAGAAAATCCCCCCTCTACCACTTGAGACCCCCCGCCGCCTCTTACGTACTTAGACTTAGTTCCTCCCGTGCATGGCACATTGGGCAGTAAGCCTCCTCCACTCTGCTCTGTCTTTGGCGAGAGCTCGGCATCCTTCAGCGATACCCCCCCCCCCCTACTTTCCAGATCTTTTTGGAGGGTGCGTCGCTATGTTAGTTTCTGCCTCTGCCGGTTGCAAAATAGCCCCCGCCCCCCTCTGCAACTTGACATAAAGCTCACCCCCTCCCCCGCCTGTCAGCGCCCCTCTTGAGAATGCAGAAATACCCAAAGGTTAGCATGAAAGTTCATTTCTTGGTACAAGTCATAATGAAATAAAGACTAAACTTTAACTGCCAACACTATAGTGAATCGGGAAAATTTGGGGTAAGTCGCAATTCATTGTAGTGTTGGCAGTTCAAGTTAAGTCTATACTTCATGCCCTAAGGCTTGTTGTCACATAGGAAGCTACAATCGTGCGTACAGTAGCCTGGGTTGCTGGGCGAACGACGAAGGCACCGACATTACAACTCTCGAAGGCACAGACGCCCGACTAGACGGTGACTACAAGAACCGTACCGACGCCATAGAGAAGTGTTACCAGGTGGCACTTTCTCGGGGTTTCAAGGTGTTTGCGCTACAGAATGACGGACAGTGTTTTGGGTCTTCTGACGGGCACAACACCTATCAAAACTATGGGTCTTCAGTAGACTGTGCAGACGACGGCAGAGGCGGGTATAAGGCAAATCAGGTCTATCAGATTTCAGGTGAGAAACCAGTGAAAAGGAAAGTGAACGCACCTGTCAAAATGATTATGCGTCAACCGTCACTCTAAAGTGCTAGTAGACATTTTTCTTTGCCCCTTTTAGCACTCCCGTAAGTTTGGGGGCGTCATCCATAAAATTAAGTCAGTGTGGTCTTAAGATTAATTTTGCAGTAACGTAAAATAATTTGTGTAATTTCATGAAAACTAGATAGAGTTTGAATGCAAGAAAGTAACTCTACAGTCCCCTTTGTTCCCACAGCTGGTAACACTGGTCCAGAAGTAAGACCGTACTATCCAGGTGAATATTTCAACTGTCTCACCATTAGTTCATCTATAATGATTATTTCATGTATGTTAACTGTATCTGCATCATGTTTTGTTTTTTGCCCAGTGTGGTAAAAATGTGCAATAGAAGTCGTCATTTATTAATATCATACATCCTGAATATTACAATAAACGTCAAATCAATATATATGACTATATCCTGTAAATGTGGCTCTTCTCCCGGTATGTGTTCATGTTTGAATGCTACGTAACTGTGAAAAACAGCGCCAATCTGTGTATCCATGTTGGGTAACTGATCACATTCCCTCTAAGTAACGCCCTACCACTCTACCATGTAACTTCAGGGACAGGTCAGAGACCTGCGTATCCTGGTCAGACAGGGGATAGACAGGTTCCCGGCTACCCACAGCAGGTGTACCGACCTGGACAAGGCACCAGGTAGAGACTTTATAGTACACATATTATAGTTGTAATTACCTTACCTTAGACCTTAGGTCCTCCTTTGCCTATAGGCACATTGGGCAGCAAGCTTCCATCTGGGTTTTTGGTCGCTGTATGGTATGATTTTGGGTCCATTCATCCATAACTGTACGGTTTTTACACACTGAAATGTACCAAATTTGACCATCAAAGATCTTCATTAATTAGTTCCGAGTAGTATTATTTCGGGTGGTTGAGTTTCTGGGTTCGTCTATCCAGATCAGAGTATGTTGACAGTACACGCGGGTAGGTACAGAATGAGAAAAGGTCAAACTCAAATATAAATATCTATAAGGATCTGGATCTATGAAGGATCAAGGGCCAGCGGGGACTTTCCTAATCTCCAAGCAGATTCTTCGGGAGAAGGGGAGTCTATATTGGCCGCCTGTGAGGCCAGTGAATACAGGCGGCCAATATATACTCCCCTTGCTCCACAGAATCTGCTTGGAGATTAGGAAAGTCCCGGAAGTCTGGAATCTCCAATATAATTAGCAACACAGATAAGTTCGTATTTCTAATGGCTTTAGACAAACCTTCGATTATAAAACACATCTGTACTTATATCTAGATCGTTACTAAGAAGCGAGAAGAAGCCAAATTATCGTAATTATTAGACTATATGTCCATAGTACATAGAATTAGCGCTAGCTTGTACATTGTATATATTCATTGCAAAATGACGTCTTTCCTGTGACCTGTACTGAACCCAGTGGTTATTTGCGTACGATAAAGGTCTTCATTCATTCAAAAATATCTTGTTGACAAAGCATTGCGCTTGGATGTCAATCGATCTGCTTAACTTCATCCTTCTGACAATTCTTCAAACTTGTATCCAGGTACCAGCAGGAGTCTTTCCCGCCGGTCCCACCTCCAGGGAACATCGGGGGTGACGTCCGCCCGCCGCCGATCGCGCCCATTTCCCCGTGGGAAGCAGAGTGCAGGTACATTGTAGACTGGTTACCAAACCTATTATAGCTCCGGAGTCCTACATCCTCTCCGCAACTATTTGCGGAGAGGCTGTAGGACTCAGGAGCTTTATTTATTTATTTATTTATTTCTGTCTTCTTTATACAGGGTAGACGCACTCAGTACAATATACTGCTTTACAGGCGTGCCCTGTACAGATAGACATAAACACCAACAACAGTAAAACAAAAATAACCAAAAGTAACATATATATATATATATATATATATACACAACCGAGCATCAAAATCGATGGATCAGGCTGGGTCGAGAGGTCAGAGGTCAGCAATGTTGTTTTATCAGCTTCTTGAAAGAGTGGCCAGATGTGACCACTCTAACTGTACTAGGCAACTCATTCCATGCAAATGCACCCCTGTATGCAAATTTTCTACGGCCAGATTCCAGTTTAACTTTAGGTAGTTGTAATGATAAATATGAATTTTGCCTTGTTGCATAGGTGTGAGAAGTTCTGTCAAATACTTGTAAGTACGCTGGTACCTGCTGATGGATTGACTTAAAGACGGTTTGCAGAAGGTGCATTTGCCGGCGGGATGTCAGGGAAATCCAACCTAGTGCAGACAGCTGCTCGTTATCTACATGTGATGTTCGTGACAAACCGAGGACAATCCGTGCTGCACGGTTTTGGAGTTTCTGGAAATTGTCAGAGAGAGATTTCCCACAGTTGGCCCATACAGTGTCACAGTACTCAATCTTTGGGAGAACCATACAATTAAACAGCATAGAAAGTGTCTTAGGCGGTAGAATGGGTACTAATTTTTAACACTCCTAGCCTAGAGGACACTGCACTACAATATGTTTGGTGACCAGGCTAGGTATGTCGTCGCTATCTTCACCACATTATCAGCTACTGCTAGTGCTGTGTACCGGTTTGCTGGACCAGTTCCGGATTTGTAAAAATGTTCAGGTTTAAGTCCAAAAAAAAAAAACGTCAAGAACTGATTCCGGACCTAAAAAAAAACATGTCACATACCCCTTTTCTTTCCAAACCACCTAAAACCTTCCATAGATATTGGAGAAAACATTGCCATTGGGCATAATAATGTCAAGTGTCGGCCTCCATGTTATGTGGCCAAATATTTGCCCAAACAACATAGGTTACCAACATGCAATTCTGCATATGCCATGGGTTTCATTACTTGACCACCCCTCTTCCTCTTTCCTTGTGGACACTTAGTTAGCACCAGTTTTTGCCATCTTTGCCTTGTGTAGGTACGGTGCGACCCGGGACCTGACCACGCGGCAGTGCAAGTGTAACGAAGCCTGTACGTTTGAGTACAACCCCGTGTGCGGCTCAGATGGAGTGCAGTACTCCAACCCGTGCGCGCTTCAGGTGGAGCAGTGCAAACAGCAGACGTCAATAGACAACGTGGGACCTCCGCCATGCGGTGGTACGTTTGTAGCAAATTGTGTTTTAGAAGACCGTCTCCTGTGACAGGAACTTATCATAACCACCACCACACAGACCACATCTGTAACTGATTACACCTCAAAAAAGGACTCGGACCACAGCGTCTGATAAACATAGTACTAAGTTGTACCAGGCAGTCACAGAGTACAGGCGTCTTCCATAGTCTCCTATTCATCGTATTCTATACTGATGGTAGTGCCTGACGCTTTCAAGAGCCGGACCCACGCCATCATGACGATGCCGCCTGAGTAACTAGTAGCCTTGCTGCCACCTAATGTAACGTGCCTTAGATCAACAGTCTTGACACAACCAGTATACGGTACAGACTGGCTTTGGCCACATGGCCAGACCACTTTATTGGGTTTGATCAGACACCAATACATAAGACACATGCACATGTCCCCAACACGTTTAGTGGCAAGGAACATGTTTTACTGATCCATTTACTAGTTTGATAAAGTTTGACTGGTCTGACTTTTATCACCTGACTCCTCCCCTGCAGTGACCTACAGTGGATATCTGTACCTGCTGGACATCACAGTCAGACCTAACAGTGAGACACCGACCGTCGAGTTCGGCCGGAAGATCCAGAAATCCTTCCAGTTCTCCCTACAAGACCCGCGGGACACCATCCTCTATATGTTGAAGGTGAGCTGGATCTTCTAACATCTAAATTAAAAAAACACTTAACTAATAACTAGCATTAAAGTTCATCTATGTTGGTAAGTTACAACTTTTTGTGTTGGACCAAAACTCTAAACTTTAAACATGTAAACACAGTAAGGTCGTCAGAGATGGATGAATCTAGGAAACTAGGAATGAATCATAGAGACTCAATCAGTTGCATGAAAATCCAGTAGTTCCTGACTGCTTGAAGTTTTTTCTAGGACATGATGGGGATACTAGTGTGCACAGCTTATATTACATTACTAGTGTAAGACAAGGCCAGGCCACTCAATGACACTAATAGAGGGGTCGAATTCGAAGGTGCCTAGAAGTTTGTTTTGCATAATCAGTGGTTAAAAAAACAGCTCCTGACATTATCACCATGTTGTTGTTAATCTTGTTCCGGATTTTATCATCCACCATCCAGGTTGTTGGAGAACCGAGGTACCTTATATGTGAGTATTCTACTTTGTTTCAACTATTGTGTCATTTTTACACATTGCAATATAATAATCTATGGCCTCTTTTATCATTGTCTCTTTTCATCAATAGTAGTTACCTGTTCGGAATAAATAAATAAATAATACATTTCTCATTCTCATTTCGCGATTTTTGTGTACTACCCAAACTCTTTGCGATTCGGGGAGTTTTATACCTTCTGTAAGGTTTGCTTTTTGGTATCACAAATAAATAAATGAATTTCTTATTGTTATTTCCCGACTTTTGTCTCCTTCCCTCCCCCACAGTCTTGAACGTGACCTTGCCGACTGACCTTGACCACCTGATGTACGACCTGTGGCAGAGCGACCCTGATTACGTCATGAACATGACGATGACGACCACGCCGCTGGTGTACTACCCAGCGTTCATGCGCTCCACTCTGGGCGTGACAGAGGAGGGGGTTCTCAACATGTTGGGGGGTCAGGAGGAGAGAGAGATGTACTTTGTGGAACAGCATACAAAGGGCTCAGGTACACTCACTCACTCACTCACTATCTGGTTTATCATATATTATTTCCCGTCTTCTGAGGGTTAGACGTGCTTGCACACTGATACTGCGGCTTGATGGCAGCCTGCCACTTGCCTTTGTCCTGTGGGTTGATATTGTCTAAGTTCAAGTGGTGGAGGTTCTCTCGTATGTTGTCAATTAATTCAACTGCCACTATTCAACTGCCGCAATTCCATTTTAAGACTGTGTACTGTGGACGTTTTTAACAATGTACATCTATGAATACTATTCAGCCTTCAGTTTTGTTCATGTTTGTTAATGTTCATGATTGATCAATAGACCAGATTAATAGCTAGGTTCATACAACTTGTTGAATGGATGTTTTTGTTTTGTTGTGCAGGCGAGAAGCTTGATAAGTTGCAAAACCTGTTCCAAAAGGCACTCCAAGTGATGGCAGAAGGTCGGCAGAACCCGGAACAGGCCAGTCTGATGCAGCCATTCAAGGTCCTGGGCAGCAAAACGGTGAGAAAACATACTTCTGTGGTTACTGTATTTAAAAAAACTCTATACGAAATAGTTCAGTTTGGTTAATTCTGCTCAGTTGAGATGTTCAGATAGTAGAGACGTCACCATTAACTGGTGATTTGTATCTAATAATTTTCGATTTGCATTTGCAGATTATCGCCAAAAGTATTTTTGAAACACCTTTATTGTTATCTGTCTATTCTAGGCTGTTGTCCTGATGTCGACTGCAGTCAACGAAGCGTTGGACAGAATGCTGTTCCAGATGCCCCATGTACAGAAGTACGGTGACGCAATGGAGATGGACGTGAAGAGTGTCGTACCGTTTGATCAGTACGACAGGCAAATCAAGTAGGTTTCTGTTTTCTTTAAAAAACTTACACCTTGGTCTTCTCGGCACCACATATGTCATTCTGGTAACTGAAAAATATGTATCAGGACTGGTAAATTACCTATCCATAGGGCCATCCTATTTGATGAGTATGACTTGAAAATTATCTTCCTCCTTCCTAGGCCTAAAGCTCAAACTTTTGTTCCAATACAAAGAAATGTTTTGACCAGTAACTCTGGTCCTCTTCAATACACTGACCCAGTGAGGCTTGTCACGTGACTTAAGTGTGATGTCAACACTGGGTCAAAGGTACCGGCAAAAGATATTACCTTTCGTGGTCGAACTTAAGACACGTAAAGTTTACACAGATGAACTTTAATTTCATGATAGCATCTTCTTACTATGTTGAGTGCTCAAATCGTACATCAATCTTCTTGATCAGCAATCATCATTCAGACAAACATCTTTTCTGTTCTTTTCCCACAGATTCCCCAACGCAGCCCCAGGACTCCCCGCATTCCCCGGCGACAGCCCCCCCTGCCAGTTCGGTGCCCGGCGCGACTCGAGCGGCGGGTCCTGCACCTGCCAGGCGGGATGTTCCCGTGAGTACGCGCCGGTGTGCGGCTCGGACGGGCACGAGTACTCCAACCCCTGTCTCCTGAAGATGGAGGCCTGCAGGAAGGGCGTCGTCATCGACACCGTCGGCAAACCGCCCTGCGGACGTAAGGACTAATCTTGTAATACGTGGGGACATATGGCGTAACGGCAGAGTGTTCGCCTCGGAACCAAGAGGTCCTGGGTTCGAAACCTGCCATGCCACGGATCTTGTGCCCGTAGGAAAGGCACTTGAAAACGCCTTTTGTCTACATTACCATTTATCCTCAAGTAATTCTTTTTCTGTATAAATTTGATGTGGATACAAGTTGGCTTCTCGTTAGATGCTCCTGTTGAGCTTAAACATGAAGTCATCTGACATCCCTTCCCTTCCCTTGTCCAGCTGTTGCCTACAGCGGCTTCCTGTACATGCTGGAATTCGAGGTCACCCCGACCAGGAATCTTTCCGTCGCCGACGTCGGGCATCACATTCGCGACGCCTTCCAGAACACCCTACAGAATCGCCCCGGCCAACCGGACCAGATCATCTACATGCTCAAGGTCAGTGCAAGGTCAAATATTCTACATGCTCAAGGTCAGTACAAGGTCAAATATTCTACATGCTCAAGGTCAGTACAAGGTCAAACCTTCTACATGCTTAAGGCCAGTGCAAGGTCAAACCTTCTACATGCTTAAGGTCAGTTCAAGGTCAAACCTTCTACATGGTCAAGGTCAGATCTTCTACACTCTACATGCTCCAGATAAAAGATACAAGGCCAAACCATCTACATGTTTCAGCTAATAAGGGTCTGTGCCAGGTCAGACCTCCTAAATGCTTAAGGTCATTACACGATGGACATTGCACTGATCATGACATCCAGAATGTCTTGGCTTGTGATGTTATTTAACTGTGTTTTTTCTCCTTGCAGGGTAGGCGGAGAACCATTCTACTTTGTCTGTAAGTGGACACTTAGTTACATATTCTTCAGCCTCAGACTTAGCCAAGATTTAATGTGATATGCGTCTTGTTTGACATGTAATTTTTTCATGTACGTTCTAACCCATAAACAGCCAGCATTTTTGCTTTGACATATTTTAGAACACAATATTACTGAGCTAATCATTAAGACATAAAGGTACATACAAACCTGGAAACTACGGTGATTCCATACAAGTGTTGTATCCCCGTTGCAGATGTGAACGTCTCCTCACCAATCGTAATCGACCTGCTCCTACATAACTACTGGCGGCAGTACCCGGGCGACGCTGATTACGTCAGCGTCTGGAGGATCACGCCGCTAGCGCACTACGACGCATTCATGGCGACGACCTTGGGCATCAAGGACAGCGAGGTCCTGACGCAGTTCCGCGGAGGGGTGCACAGGGGGGAACTTTACATGCTGGAAATACACGTCATGGACTCAGGTGAGTCGGACAAACCTGCTTTAAGTCTCAAACCACGTCTGAAGACAAAGTTATCATAGAAGACATTCATCCGTCACGTGTATATCACAGTTAGTACAATACTCTTCAATCAGGAACATTTTATGAATTAAGGTAAAACAAGTACCTCCAAATCTTTGACGTCTACTGTATATCTTGATCACGGAGTGACTTAATCTCGCGAGAACACGAGACTAGGTCGAGATTTGTGCAGATCTTTTGGCCTCCCCAGCCTCCTTGCGTTGTCGCGAGGCTAGGTCCGCCCACGCACGTTAAAGAACCCACTGCACTTATCGAAAAGAGTAGAGGCCCTTCCCGGTGTGCGTGGTTTAAACCTTACGTTACAGTCTGGTCTTAAGCTGCGTGTACTTACATGTACAAAACGGGTGAGTTACACCTAAAAAGACGCTTTACGAGTTATGCGAAACAAACAAAATGTTCCATAATAATTGTGTTTAGACGTGAGCCTGAGTAAGCTGTCTGAGGAGTGGGTGAAGGAACTGCAGCAGACGGCCGAGGAACGGGAAGATCCCGCCAAGGACAACTTCATCCATCCCTTCAAGGTCGTGGGAAAAACGCGGGTCAGTTTCTGTTCAGTTTCCCTTCAAAATGTATTTCATCCTCTACGCCATCACAGTTACAGACCTTACAGAGTTTATCTTCTACATAGTATAACTTGTGGACGTACCAGCCACTAAGTATCTGATACCAGCCCAGAAAAGAACAAGAAACAGTCAAGCCTGCAAATATCAGTCTGAGTGTTAGCTGCCGCCGCACTGAGTGCCTGCGAAGCTGGTTTGTTTCGCCAAATGGCGGTTATACCGGCTATACTGATACGGATACAGATACAGATATAACATACTTCTGTTGTTTGCAGGGCGTCTTCCTTGTCTCCAGCGCCAGTAACGCTGCGATGGACCGGCGGCTGTACACCCTGCCGCGCTTCCAGGCGTACAGCGACGCTATCGAGGTCTGGGCCTTCAACGTCCTGCCGTTCAGCGAGTACGAACAGGAGATACAGTAAGGCTTTTGTACCTGTTGTTTGGAGTTAAGACTTTGTTTAAGACGTTCTTTCACCTATATAGCTGGAGCTTTCGCTATGCCCACATTCCTGGAAACCTTTGGGAAGGCCTCTCTGCCCCGGATGGCCCTACTTTCTGTGACCCGGGGTCTCGTTCACTATACACTCAGGGGAGGAGTGCACTGTATCTGTCTGGACAGGTACCAAGTCTTCCTCAAAGTCATGAAATCATGGCAGTGCAACCACCGTCGCCATGGCAATGTATGTTTTCATTGCCAGTCTTGTTCTATTTCCCAGTTACCAGCCGGACCACCGCCTGGCCCCCTGCCCGCTGGTGGACTCGTCCCGCCCTCGCACGGCCGGGTCCCGCTCGGCGCGAACCAGCGGCATCTGCCGCTACGGCGGCGTGAGGAACCCGCTCACAGGGAAGTGCTTCTGTGCAGACACGTGTTCCCAGGTTTGTCCATTTTATCCAAAGCATATTGAAAATGAATTCCACTTTGTTATAGTGTTGTGTACCAGTTCGCTAGACCGGTTTCGGAAAAAAAAACTAAAAGTCAAAACGTATTACGGACTTATTACAAACAAACATACCCCTTTTCTTTCCAAACCACGCAAGACCTTCCATAGATTGCAAAATCTGTGCAGCAGATGAAGAAAACATTGCCATCGGGCATCGTCAAAGTTTTGTCCATTGCAATTGTGTTGCCAACATGCAATTTTGTATATGCCATGGGTTAAGGTCCGAACTTAGGAGTCCGGAACTGAACCTAAACCTCTGGACTTGAATCCGGACCTGAACCTAAATGTGGGTTAAGGTACACAGCACTAATTGACGTGCAATCAAGTCCTTCTTGGTGTTCCCAGGAGGTGGACCCGGTGTGCGGGTCGGACGGGGAGGAGTACGATAACCTGTGCCAGCTGCAGGTCGCGGCCTGCAGGCAGCAGAAAACCATCGACGCGCTTGGACAACCGCCCTGCGGGGGTGGGTGGAAGCTTTCATTTAAGCTTATAATGTCCCAAAACTACACTGTGTTAAAAGGCCTAACTTCTTCTTCCAGCTCTTCTAGCTCTGATTGGCAAATATGCTTCTGCCAATCAGATATAGGACTCAATATGTAATCCTTAGATTGACATTTTCTCCTCAGTCAATTATAGAAGTCATTCCTGTTCAATAACTATGTTGCTATGCGAATCTGACATGAAATGCTAATTTGGAATCACAGGATGTAAGCGAAGTAGCAGAAAATGCATCCTATGATAGTTTTAAATCAAGTACATGTATGGAATGTTAACATTTCAAAACGTGGACATTAAGGAGATCAATGATCTGTAATTATGGAGAAATAATGGCGCCTTTTCATTAATCAGCCAGCTACATCTGCCTATATGATAATCAATGTTTTTTTTTAACTAAAACTCCCCAGGTATGAAGTACAGCGGTTTCCTGTACATGTTGGAGATCAGCGTCCGGCCGACAGCGGAGCGCTCCACTCTGCAGATCGGCAGGAACATCCGGGACTCCTTCCAACAGGCGCTGCAGGATCCACGGGACCAGCTGCTCTACATGATGAAGGTGAACTGTATGCATCTTACTTACTTGCCAAATGCTTAGGCCAGAACTGGCCCCATGCTCCTCTTCATTTTTTACCTCAAAGCAGCACGGTCATTAGCCTTTTGTTCTGCAACCTTGAGGGACCATCCGGTATCATTAACTATTTTGTCCGGCCATCTTTTTTTTTTTGGGGGGGGGGGGTCTTCCTCTAGGTCTGAGGTTTTGAAAGTCCTGGTGGTAGGCTCCGTATACCAATAAGTCTGGAGGTCTTAGATGTGCCAAATATCTGACGAACCTCTAGAAACCTTGATTATTTTCATGCAGGAGGTCGACAAGAAATTTATCTATGTATAACAGGAACCATCTGATTTGGGACATTGAATTAAAAGTAGATTTATTTAACTTATAAGTAATATATACTTACTTATAATCAAAGATGCCCGTTTGTTTCTTCCTTACTCTTTTTTTTCTTTAGGTGAATGGAGAGCCAACGTTCCAAGTCTGTAAGTATGAAACAATTCGAAGACATATTCCTCTTTTTTTATCACATTGATGTCTAACTGAATACATTTTACAAATTTGACATCGTTAGCATGAGTGACAAGTTAAACCTCCTTGATGAAATGTAACAGTTCTCTCAATATATCATGACCTACAATTTAATAGTATCCTTAACTGTCTTTTACAGACCTGAACCTCAGCATTCCGACCGTCTTCGATCAGATGACAGCGAACTTCCAGAGCCGTTACCCGGAAGACGCGGAGCAGGTGTGTAAGCAGGGCAGAAAAGCACATGAAAAGCAATGATAATATTTTTAAACAGTATTTTGTTGGTCTTTCGGGATTAGAGTTGAAGTGTTAGATGACTTTGCACTGAAATCCTACCATGAGTCTCACTTTACGGTTTGTTTTAAATGTAAACTACATTAGTCACACTTGGATGACAGATAATTATGTAAAACCACTCTTTTGATGATGTCTGTCAACTTCATATTCCTGTTTGTTGAGAGACAGGGGTTCAGAGACAGAAGTTGAGAGAAAGCAGTCACAGATAGAAGAGCCTCTTGTGCGTGTGTAAACTGGCCACTCCTCAGCGTGTTCTTCAGTCCTGTTGTCAGTCTCTCTAGCAGCATTCAATAAACCCGAGGTTCTAAAACATCTGGCCCCGCTTACAGGTGACCGTGTTCCCGTGGACGTTGGTGGACTACCGCATGTTCCTGGCACAGACCGTCGGACTGTCCGAGTACCGCGACTTCGCCAACTTCGGCGGCGTGCACGACGGGGAACTCTACTTTGTGGACATCTATCCACACGACACGTACGAACGAGGTGAGGGTTTAGTATCAAAAAGGGAATCAAAGCCTACATAATCTCTGTTACCTTCGCCAGGAATGTTATGTTTTTGGCAGCGTTCGTGTGTGCGTGTCTAAACTCGACAGGGCTTACTATATAGATAGATCGTCTTGATATTTGGTACGTAGATAGGGTTTGATAATGCTACAATCTGCGTAAAGGTAAGACTGTCGTTGGGTTAATAGTATGATCAAATGGCATAATTCATTCAAATGAGGATTTCATTTGCAAATCCAATGAAAAACATTTTCAATTCATCAGCTGTAAAGGTTAACATCATTTCGCGAATGTATAAGATCGTAAAACTTTTAGATCACAGACAACCACTCTTCAACTTAAAACTGTAGGGGTGATTGCTGTATACTTTTTTTACATTGTACGTATTATTTTCCTTTTCATGAAACCTTTATTATGCATTTCCAGGTGCCAACCTTGACAATCTGCTTGAGAAATGGGGAGAGTACTGGAAACGACTATCAACTGATGGGGCCAACCCAGCATCGACCAACTTCATGATGCCGTACAAAGTACTGGGCAGCACCAGGGTAAGTTTGCCAACACTAGTTTGTGTCCAAACGTCACTCAGTGTTCATGCTGTTTTCGTTCCGTTATCAACAAACGCCAGAAAATAGTCATATGGCACTATTTATAAATGATTACATGACTAAATGATTAACTGAATCTTTTCACAAGTTTTCTATTTCCGTGCAGAGGTTGACTCTATCAGATTCTGAGTTACACACAGTCCACATATACCCCCTGTCTGCGGATGGCGTTCAGCACCAAGGACAGACACAGTTATTGTAATCTATTTTTGCTCTACATGCTTTATGTTGTCCCTCATACTTTAACTATTGTTTTATGAAATGATTACTTGACTTCAGAAAACAGTTTCATCAGGTTGGTATAGTATAGGATACAGGGGTTTTCTTTTACGCAACCAAGATAGTCTCACCTTGCTTACGTTTCGGTATCACCCTCCTCAGAGCTTCTGACTGGAGTTCTGCTTCTCGACGCTATATGTAGCCGATGTAGGTAGCGCTGTTGTCCAAGCAAGGTTGGACTACCTTGGTTGTGTAAAAGATAACTCCTGTATCCTGATTCCTTAAGGTTTATTTCTTTTCTTTCAGACGTTCCTGCTAGTATCGTGGCCTGGTAACGAGGCAGTGGACAGGAACCTGAACCAGTTCCCGATGATCAGCGAGTACGCAGACGCGATAGACGTGGCGGTCAAGAGCATCGTTCCCTTCGACGAATACGAGCGCCAACTTCTGTAAGTTTTCAACAGCTTTTATCCCGATAACGAATTTTATCCCAAAACGAATTCTTAACATCTGAATTCATATTAGAAAACGGCAGTTGTCAGATCCCGTAAGCTGTTACAAAACTGCCCAAAGTTGTATATAAAGAAAATGGTTTGGGGGGTCTGCAAGTAAATATAAACGGAGACTATTTTTTTAATCCAAAAAACAGAGACTAATACCTACTAGTAGTACAGCACATTAGTGGTAGCGCACCCAAGTATCTAACTTCTAAGACTCATTTTAAAGCTCCCTCTGACACATAATGAGGGGATAAATTTGATTCATATTGAACAAAAATGAACCCAATATAAAGGAAATACATATGATAATACATATGTAACACAAAGTGATAAAAAACAAAGATGATTGATACAAACAACTGTTGTTTGTTCAGGAGTGGTGTGCCCAGCCCTGGTCCCGGCCTGCCTGACAGAGACCGCGCGAGCGTCGCCACGTCGTCGTGCCGGTACGGAGGTCTGACCGACCCGCTGACGGGGCGCTGCCGCTGTAACATCGCCTGCCCGCGGGACCGCCGCCCCGTGTGCGGGTCCAATGGCAGGGAGTACGCCAACGCCTGCATGCTGCGATTCGACTCCTGCGAGAGGCAGCAGACCATAGACAACATCGGGTCTCCGCCGTGTGGAGGTGAGATGACAGGAGATTGAAAATTTCTATCGTTGGTAAAGTATAGGATATAGGGGGTTTCTTTTACGTTGTGTAGGGGCACCACCATGTGCAAGTCGGATCACAGGAGATAAAATGATAATGATAAGTTTATTGCAAATGCGTGTCCAAAGGCTAATAGCAAATAAAAAAGATCAAAAAGCATTGAAACAGAGTACAAAATAACCTCATAATCTACATGATTAAAGGTAATTTTCTAAAACTATAGCTATGCCTAAAACTATGTCTGAAGGGTTTAACCTCTCTTTGTAAACCGTGGAATACGTAATGTCCCACTTTTCCCAAAATTTTGGGTAGTTACAAGAATCAAGAACAATTAAACGAAACAGTATTTCTGAAAATGAGAAAGTAGTAGTTTTCTTTTCTTTTTGTAAACAAACTGTCGTCTGCCCGTCCAGCAGATAACAGCGTGGTGTACAGCGGGTACCTGTACCAGCTGAATGTCACAGTGAAGGTCACGGACAGCACATCTGTAATCGAGTACGGCAAACAGCTCCGCGACTCCTTCAGCACTACCCTGAAGGAACCGGAGGACAGCATCCTCTACATGCTGCTGGTGAGTGTACATATGGGCTGGTTATGGCTTATATGTGTGCAGTTCCAGCATGTTCTACAAGGGGGAGCATTTGATTATCTTTTCCGTTACCATGATACAGTTTCTTATACTATTTAACAGTCTAGTAAATGTGGGATTGAGAGTTTCATGAAAACTATACAATCTTTTTAGTATTCTACTGCTAATCTCCAATTCATATTTTCCTACAGGTAAACGGAGAGCCTACTTTCCTGATATGTAAGTATATTTTTATCACTGTGTTCTTAGTCTTTCTAACAGTTTGCATATTTGTAAGTAAGCCTTTAGAGTGAAAGACTCAATTATTAAGTTTGTGGTTCCATTCCATCAATCCATTGTATTTTAAAATACAAATCCTTATTTTTCTCCATTTTAGATTGCCAATTTTTGTACAGTTACAAACAAAAGTGATCATCAAAATACTTTTTTATCTTTAAGGAACTTAAAGTTGACTATTTTTCTGATTTTTTCAGTTGTAAACGTCTCCGTGCCAACGACCCTTGACCTGATGATGCATAACTACCTGGTGACGTATCCCGACGCCGCAGAACACGTAACCATGACAACCACACCTCTGTCGTCCTACGAGGCTTTCCTGGCGACGACAGTTCTCGTCCGCGAGAAGAAAACGCTGAAACAGTTCGGCGGTGTCCGCAGTGGAGACTTGTACCTTGTGGATATGCACTTAGAGGATACAAGTAAGCCAACACTGCAGTGGATGAATGCAGTATCCGTAGCTTTCTGTTAAATTTGGCCTTTAGAAATACATTATTCCATGATTACTTTTATGCAATTCTTAATTCTGAACATTATTCTATGATTGCATCTATTACTTCAAGGAAATTAAGTTTATTCAAGTATGCTTGTTTGTTCAAGTATGTGTCTCTGCAGTGTGCACTTTCCTTATGTCCTTTTTAAGGATGGGAAGTCTAATATTTAGCTCTCTCTAGTCTTACCTTTATTTTCCTCAAATAGAGGAAATTTACTTATTTTGATAGATGGTCTGACGAATGTCACAGTGGCTTTCTTGATTATGTTTACCTTCTACATTGTTTTTGCTCTGTTTCTTCTTCCTCCTCGTCTTCTTCTCCAAACAAAAAAGTCAATAGCCTGAGCCAGACGTCTGTCACCAGGGTAACTAGTGTTGGGTTACATCATGTTGCAATTTTATAGCAGGAGGGATTTAAACTCCTGTCACATATATACGAAATGTGTTTGAGTAATAATTAACAGAGCAGACCATATGCGAAGGTAAACATTATACACTTGCTTTGGAAATGTTACCTTTCTAGTTTAAACTTTGGTTCTAATAATGTGTTTGTGTGAACTTGTGTTTCTCCAGACCTGAACATGGAGAGAATATACACCACCATCGCCGATGACGCCAAGGCCCTGGCCGCTAACCGACCTTACCCAGAATCCTCCTCTCTCCTGCATCCCTTCAAGGTCGTGGGGAGCCTCAGGGTCAGTTATGTGATGTACAAATAAGGAAGTTAGCATTTATGACTGAGCATGCTGTCAAAGTCTTTGAGACATAAACAAAACATGTCTGAACATACGGGGGACGTGGCGAAGCCATTTGCTCCTGAGCAAATGTTGGCCTTTCTAGTTAGCCCCATGACAAAAGAAAGTCAATAATGAGAAGTTTATTGCAAATTCGTGCCCGGGGACTAATTTCAAATTAAAAAAACATAAAATAACAGTGAAACAGAGTATAAGATAACTAAAATCTACATGATAATAGTTGTCTAAAGCTATAGCTATGTCTAAAGCTATGTCTAAGGGGTCTGACTAAGGACTCTTTTTTAATCAATCCCCCTTCGTAAAAATCGTATACCGAGGAACTGGTGACGTGAAGCAAGCGGGGAAGAGCTTCAGCAGTCCCGAAGAAAATCCACCCAAACATCAATGGACTGAATACCAGGTTATTTCAGGTGTTAAACTCATGTTTCATGTTATAGGATATGATCCTGATGTCGGCGCCCAGTAATGAGTTCATCGACACGCACTTGAGCCGCCTGCCGCGCTTCAAGCAGTTCGGGGACCGTCTGCAGGTCACGGTCAGGGGCGTGGCGATGTTCGACGACGTCGAGGAACAGATCGAGTGAGTGTCTCAAGATATATTTCATGTCTTTAAGAAATGTAAATTTTAAGGTCCTTCTTGTGGAATATTTGCACAGATTTAGAAGCTTTTTTTGTCTGTTGGGCCAAAAATGGTGTCTCTAATTAAAATATATTTCAGGAGCACGTCGGCAGAACGTACTGCACCTGCGAGAAACACTTAATGTATAGTGTATTGCATGTTGCGCGCATTGGCAGAACGTCTCAAATACGGTCGTAATATGGTATATAAGGTTAACATCCCGTCTGCAGTTTCCAGATGTTGCGTTGGAAAAGTTGTTGTCTGCAACAGGCAACGTTGACCAAACAGCCAACGAAAACCGTGAAAAATCAGGGTTTCGCACAGACGCAGTACGTTCTACCGACGTGCTTATTTCATGTCACTGGTGAACCAGTGACATTTTGGGAAACCTGATATCCTCTGTAAAGATAGAGAATTAGTGACGATTAAATTACTTCTTGTATCCCGGTGCAGAGAGAGGAACGGGGCGCCGGCCGCCATCTCTGCGTCCACGGCGTACGGGGAGCACCAGGTCAGCGGCTACAACAACAACAACGGCGGCAGGTGTCGCTACGGCGGCACCAGGGACAGATCCGGACAGTGCAAGTGCAGCGAGGTAATGTGTTTGATTGTTTATTTATTTCACCTGGTAAGGGGATACTAGTACATATCGCCTGAGGGCGGAAATGTGCCTCAATGTGCCTTGGGGGGAAAGTCCAAAACAAAAGCCATTTATATCACAGATTAAATTGTAGTCCAGTGGTTAGCGATCCTGCCTCTGGTAAGAGGTTGGGAGTTCGAATCCCAGCTGTTGTCACTCACGAGACATGCACGCTACTGGAAAGGGTCACAGTTCTTAGGACGGGACGTTAAGCCATTATGCTTGTCAAAAAGAGCCAAGGGAATTTCTCCGGTACAATGAACCTGTAAATACTGTACATAGCGCCAAAACAGTTACTTAAGCAACTTGATATGATTTTGGAAATTTAGTCAGTAACTTTATTACCTGGATGTCTAGCCTTCACCGACGTACTGTACATGGCGCCTGCCTTCTTCTTCTTCAGTCTTAGTGAGTTAAAACTAGTTTGAGGTCACTTTTCTTTTCTTTCCTTTCCTTTCATCTCTCATCCCAGGTGTGCCACGTGGACTCGGCGCCTGTGTGCGGCTCAGACGGAAAGGAGTACTCGAGCCCGTGTGCGTTAGAGGTGCAGGCCTGCAAACAGCAGAGAGCTATCGACGTCATCGGCACTCCACCATGTGGAGGTACATAGATATAGACTACTTCATAACATACCATAGATATTGATTAATAAGTTAACAATTGGATGTGTAAATCATAGTTTTAGACTGATATAGCATTGTGCAACTTGTAGTTTTATTTCCTTACAAATGTATGTATGTCTGTATGTAAGAACACACAATTCAGCCCGTGGCCTGCCAGTTGTTAGCCAAACTATACACACACACACACACACACACATATGTGACCTTAGCATTAGATAAATGGACAGAAATCTAAACTGCAGAGTTATCATTAAACTCTGTATATATATATATATACAGAGTTTGATGATAACTCTGCAGTTTAGATTTCTGTCCATTTATCTAATGCTAAGGTCACTGTTGACTTCTTAAATCATACAAGGGTTCCAACATGGTGTCGTTAAAGCTTGGGAAGTATTCAATATGATAGATGATTTTCAGGGTTTAGTTTCCAGTGTAATCTGTAACTGCAATGCCCTCTCCCCATCAGATATCCAGTACAGCGGGTTCCTGTACCTGTTAGAGATCTCAGTCGTCCCTTCGGCAGCGTATGACGAGGGCGTGGTTCACATCGGGCAGACCCTGCAGTACTCCTTCTCAGAGACACTCAAGAACCCGAGGGACTCCATTATACACATGCTGAAGGTACGGCATTTCGTTCTTGACGCCCCTGCATGATATTATGCCACACATTCACTCACAAATTTGACCTCCCGATTGCTAACCGAATGCCCACCAACCATGGTTAAGAGTTGGTCGGCTGGCGTTAGGCGAATTCGGATTCAAATTTGCATAAACATTGTGTATGACTTACAATGGACTTTTGTACATTAACAGAATGCTTAAGACATACTATTTATCTTTTACAGGTGGATGCTGAACCGAAATACCTTATATGTGAGTATATTACATAAAATGTACCCACTTCGTCTATAATATTTGGGTTCTTTGATTTCAGTGGTAAAATGTTTTTTCTCCTGAAGAGGAATAGTGGGAAAGTAAGGATGTATTGTATTTTTGGACACGACAATAAATAAATAATTGGTTATATCATTATATGATGATGTGAAAATAAATAAAATTGTGCACATTTCTCCCCAGACGTGAATGTCTCGTCGCCCGACATGGTGAGCACGCTGCTGTACAACTACTGGCGGACCGAGCCCGCGCTGGCTGCCCGCATGACGGTCAGAACCACGCCGCTGGCGCACTACCACGCCTTCCTGGCGACCACGGGCGGGGTGGACGACATGGACGTGCTGAAGGCGTTCGGAGGCAGGCAGAGCGAGTGGATGTACCACATCGACATTAATGCTAAAAACACGGGTGAGGAGAGGTTACCTTTTAGATATACACATAGACATCCATGTCAAAAACACGTTACCTATAGCTAGTGGATGTTCCACATAGACATCCGTGCCAAAAGCACGGGTGAGAAAATGTTACTTGGGCCATACTGATTTAATTTTATGGATGACATGCATGCCTTTTTGTTCTAAATCTTCAGTCAAAAATTTGTGCTGCAAAATGAAGAAAACATTGCCATTGCGCATCGTCCAGTGTCAGCCTCTTGCTTTTAAACTCTGGTAGTGCAGTGCTTGCTACAAAATTTTGCCGTAAAGATGCCCCATTTTCCATTGGGACATGTTCTCTGAGAAGTTCCGTATTTTGTATATGCTGTGAGTTAAGTCTTGAATCTGGACCCGGACCTGAACGTGGGTTTAGGTACACAGCACTAGCTGTGACGCTTGTTTCTAATTTTACGCTTGTATTTGTTGTGTTGAAGGCGTGTCGATGAAGGAGCTTGTGTCTAAGTGGGTAGAAGACGCGGAGTTCCTGTCGCAGCGAGACACAGACACAGCTGACTACTTCCAGCCCTACAAGGTCGTAGGAAGCACAAGAGTGAGTACAATTACATATTAGTTACACTTGCTGTTTCAGAACCAGTTCCCCAAACACCTGGATATGATTTGGAAACGGTCAGACGTTGCAGGTATCATCCACTATCTTTCGTCAGTGAATTCTGGAGAGTTTTCAGAAAAGCTGGTTTATAAGTACCAATTATTGATTGATATGCAAATAAGTTAAGACAAATTTTATGAAAGTCTGAAATCAAATCCTGGATAGTGAGTGAGTGAGTGAGTGAGTGAGTGTTCTAAAAGGAAACAAAAGTTAGACAAGTCAAGACAAGAATGGTGCAAATTAGTCAAGTAGCTCCTGCTTGTTCCTTGCTACCCAATGTCAGAAATGAACACCATTTCTCTGTACCACTTGCCGTAAACAGGTAATATACTACATATTATCTTTTCTGGGAACAATAGATTTTTACTTGTTTACACTGTGAATAATGTTGTGTTGTTGTTTCCCTACAGATGGTTATCGTGTTTTCCTCGGAGCGAAACGAGGCCGTAGATCGGTTCCTGTACAAACTCCCACAATTCCAAGAGTTCGTTGACACCATCGAGGTCAGAGTTCACAGCGTGGCCACATTCAAAGAGTACGAAAGACAGCTGCTCATACAGAACTAAACACTAAACACATCTGCTCATAATGAGAAGAAAGGGGGTTTCACTAGTTTTAGTTTAAAAGATAACTTTTGCGTTTAACTGTTTGTAAGTTCATGTGTTCGTTCATGTGTTTGTTTCTGCCATATGTTGAGATGATGTTTAGGTGATGGCAAAATGTAATGTTTGATTCTGTTGTTACTAATCTAAGAGGAAGCAAGGCTCTAAAGGCAGACGTGTGTGTTTAGTGTTGAGTGTTTGTGCTCTTTTTTACAGCTTTCAAATGATGCAACGAAATTCACAACCACTTGTTTACAAGAGCCAGACGTTTCGATGACCGTCTGTCATCTTCATCAGGGCTACAGTGAATGGCTCTTTGTGCACTTAAGCTTCAGTGAACCAGTCATAATTGTCCTGATGAAGATGACAGACGGTCATCGAAACGTCGGCTCTTGTCAAACAAGTGATTGTGAATAAGAAACATTGATATTCAATCATTCACGAACCTGATGAAAATACGTATTTAAAAGTAATGCATTTTCTCAGTGAGCACTTCACCATACTTGAAAGCGGCACAGAAAGAGCAAAATGACTCAAAAGAACGACACAGAACCCCACGTCTGCTTAGAGTTTAGAGCAATCAGTTGAGGCCAGTTCCTTTAAGGCCGGTGCCGATTATGCCTTCAAGATTATGTTTCGTTAAGGAGATAGCATCGTAGTATATAGATGATCAGACTAGAATATTTCATGTGATGTCTTCAAGATTTGTTTTTGAAAGAGTGTTGCCTTAGCCTGGAATCCAGCCATCAAAGCAGTACTCTCTCTTTGAAGACAAAGCAAAGGTAGCTTGGAGCGGATGTAACGTAGCCTCGATCTACCAGGCTTCGGGAGGCGGCTGAAAAGAGTAGAAATCGGCCAAATAGAGAGACAGCATGCCAAGGCTGGTCGGCTGGAGAGAACAGTTTGCCGACCGAACTCCCTTGGCATGCTGTCTCTCTATTTGGCCGGTTTCTACTCTTTCCAGCTGCCTCCCGAAGCCTGATAGAGGCTAGGTGTAACGTTCACGGCGGCCGGATTCGAGACTAGGCTTGTCCTGCAGCTAGCTTGCCGCATGTGCCGTACTTTATAGCAGTGTCGATGCGGTGTTGTTTTACCGATGGACTAAACACATCTGCCCTTGTTGCACATGAGGCGAGAACTAGTTGATGAAGCAGATGATATTTGAGCACACTTGTAGATAAAGTTTAGGGGAATCTTCGTGCTCAGTTCGTGTCTATTAGAGACTTTTTTGTTTCGTCTTTTAGTTTGATGAATAAAGGTCTGATGCAATGTCGCTTAAATGTTCTTGTGGTTTCATCTAATTCTAAAAGAAGAACACTGATCCCTTTTTTTGCCATGAGCAAACTAACGTCGCCCATTCTTTATTGACAACATGATGAAATGAGACATTACGTAAAAAATAGGACGAGACAGAACAGAACACAGCGTGTGTTAGCGAAGTTCACCTTTCGTCGTTACGTCCAAGCAGTTTTTGCAAACTCCTGCAACTATACTGCAATTTTTGCCACTGTTCATGGTATAAACCCTATGCTATAAAACACTCATACAACCACAATACAGTGAAAACGTTCAATGCAGTGACGCAGTGTGCAGTGCAGAAAAGACACAGATAAACATGTCAGATGTACCTACAAGCATTAGCTTGTGTTCCTTGTTTCAAAGAACATCACAAACTGCATACAAATCATAGATAAGATCTATATACTTCTCGGTACTGTACAAAGTTGGCTCTAAGTCGACAATTTAGCTGTTTTGTGCATATTTCTGTACGGATGTCTAGTTGAGTTCAGGATGCCGGATTTTTGTGACGTGTAGCTTGTGACGAACAGCGATCTTCACTTCTTCACCACTTAATCTGAAGGGACTGAAGATAATCCTTGAATTCTGGGACACAGGAAGAAGGAAAGTTTTGTATCAAGCACAGGCATACCATGATTATTACCTCCATGAAAAATGGAGGTATTGTTTTTGGTGCGTCTGTCTGTGTGTGTGTGTGTGTGTGTGTGTGCCTGTCTGTATGTGTGTGTGTTTGTGTTTCCGCACATTTGTAGTCAGCATAACTTCATAACGCCTTTATGGATTGCGATGATATCTGGTATGTTGGTAAGTCTTAGAAAGACAAAGGTCAAGGTAAAATATGGCCCTTATGGTGGATGACCTTGGTACTGCAGCAGAACTTCCGGTTTTTGTATTTTTTGTCCTGAACATGCTATGAGCTATGGTTTAATATGTGGTAGGCAGAACATCAACAGATACCAATTATGCTAATAATGACCTAATTTGCATAATTTAGTTTGATTTTTTATTCTATTATAATAATGAATGCGGATCTACGTCTTGAACGTCTTTCAGGTTGTGGGTTTTCCTAAAAGAAAGCAACAAAGCTCAACAGACTGAAACCTTGTATTTGATTGGTGATGAAGTTGTTACCTTCGTAGTCGAGCCGTCCGTCCCTGTCTCCGTCTCCGTCATCCAGCAGATCCTTCAGCTCGTCATCACTCAGGTCCTCACCGCAAGCGTCTGCCATGGTCTAGCAGAAACAACAACAAAAAAAAAATCTAAGGTTTCAGATCTTAGTTAAGTATTTAGAATAGCTGTGATTCTCTTGTTTTGATCATCATCTCTCGCTGATCTGGTACATACGTCACTGTCACTTCCACCCAACCTGAGGGAGACTGTTGACCTCCATGAATGTTGTCTGTGATTACGACACTGCACTATACTATGAACACAGAGACAGAGAGAGGGGGGAGACAGGCTTACGCACAGACACTGAACTATACTACGAATAGAGTGAGATAGGCATACGCAGACAGACACACACGCACACACTATCTCTCACACAAACACACACACACACACACACAGAGAGAGAGAGAGAAAGGCAAACATATACCCCAAAGAATATGAGCCTGTTACAACGGAGTACGAATCAGTACAAGTTTTTACCCTCAGTTCCTCGATGCTGATGAATCCGTCGTTGTCCTTGTCGAAGATCCTGAAGGCGGCGCGAACCTCGGTCTCGTCCATCTCGTACTGGTCCTGGTGCATCTGTTTCGCCATCAGCTCCAGGAACTCGTCAAAATCCATCGTGCCGCTTCCTGGAGGGGGGTGGGGTGACAAGCGCAATGTTAGGGGCCAGACTGATGTACGATGACTAATAAACTTCCAACTATCACCAGTGAAAGTAGCGTCTGGGGTCCCTCAAGGAACCGTCCTGGGACCATTGCTCTTCCTCTTGTATATAAATGACCGAACCTAGACTTTGCCGCGACAGTATGGGATTCATATACAAAGAAATACAAAGACAAACCGGAAAGGGTACAGAATCAAGCTGCAAGATTCTTCATGAACAACTATGAAAGAGGTGCTAGTGTCACGGAAATGAAGAGTAACCTACAGTGGGTATCGCTGGAAGACAGGCGAAAAATGTCCAGACTATGCATGATGTACAAAATCACCAATAAACTAGTAGACGTACCAACTACTAGGTACCTAATACCAGCCCAGAAAAGAACAAGAAATAGTCATACGCCAAAAAACAGTTACTCAAGCAACTTGATATGATTTTGGAAATATTCAGACGTTTCAGGTAGTATCCACTACGGATGATGCAGCTGACTTCTAGGAGAAGTTGTGAGACAATCACATATATACTATACTATACTATACTATACTATACTATACTATACTATACTATACTATAATATACTATACTATACTATACTATACTATACTATAATATACTATACTATACTATACTATACTATACTATACTACACTATACTATACTATACTATACTATACTATATACTATACTATATCTGTACTAAAGAACTAGGGAGCTGCTCCCTTACCGTCCTCATCGGCCTCCGCCATGATGGCGTCCAGCTCGTCCCTGCTGGGGTTCAGGCCGCACTGCTTCAGGATGGTCCCCAGGTTCTGCGTGCTGATCTCTCCAGAACCGTCACGGTCGAAAATGGAGAACGCCATCTGAAGCTCTAGGTAGGGAGAGAAATATTAAAAGTACTACTCAGAGATTCCAAACTTCACCCTCCCTTTTTAGAAACATACTACGCAAACACACGCACACACACACACACACACACACACACACACACACACAAATACACGCACAACACATGTATACACGTACATACATAGTATCACATATTTAACGTTAAAATGATCAATGTTGCCTCCAGATCTAGACTGATTGAAGAGACATAATAACAAGTCGGTTTTCAAACTTACCTTCTACCTGCTCCTTAGTCAGGGAGTCACTCGCTCTTCCCTGCAAATATAAACACCCAGTAAATAAGAAATATATGAATATGTAGGGCAGTTATAGTAGAATATTCATCAATCAGTGACTGTTTTGAGAGGTAGCAAACACGTACCTCCAAATTTGCGATGTCTACATTTCTTGCATGTTTTGTTTGTAAATGTACGGTACATGTACGTATTGTAGTGTAGATATTGCATATAAGATTAATATATACCATTGGGTAAACGCCAGCTAGCTAAAGGTGAATCTAAATAACTCAAATTCATGCAATAAAGTCAGTATGGCCTGAGGTGTGGAGCCAGATTACGTAACGATTGTCTGGTTGAGATAGAAAGGGCATGTCTGAAATACTAACATGTCGTACAGTTGGATTTTAACGCACTTTATTTGGAAAGCTCCGAGATTAAACTACTCGCAAGAGACTTGAACTTCAACTTGACCCGATCTTCAAGATAAGATATTGCCAAGTCTATATTCACCCAATTACTCCCATTACACTGTGAGGTTTCCAGCGAACTGACAATTGCGTAAGTTAACGACTTCAGAGAGGCACACTAAAACGTGTAACTGTAAAACGTGTTTTAGATTAGCTACTGCATTAGACGTTTTGTCAATGTATGCACATTACTATTAAGCTTTGTATTTGTATGGTTCTTCGCCCGAAAGGGCGTGAATGTATGTATCTTAAGACATGAACTACTCTCCAAGCAGAGGTTTTTAGTTTTACATTTTCTTCGTTTTTCATCATTTTCAGCCAAACTTCGGTTGGGGGGGGGGGGGGGTATTGGATACTGCCTGGCCAATCTGATATTGTATTGCAGCCACCAAAATATCACACGAAGACCATACCTCCAACTAGAGACCAACCGAAAAACGCTATTTTTGTGTGCAGTCAACTGCAATTTATTCCTTGGGCGATGTGTGTGAAATAAACAAAACATTTTCAGCATCAAGAGCCAAACGAACTGCTAGCTATTTCTGTGCGACGTTTTGGGGCCTGCCTTCCGGTGCTGTAGACGTTGATCCCTTCATTTGTTGCACTTGTCGCGCAGCTGTTTTTGTAAGGATAAGGATCGTAACTGTTTGATCTTCTGAATATCTTTAAGTCTCTTGTAAGTCTACGCCGGGATATCTTGAAGTGTTCGCATATGTGAGTGAACAAATCCTTCAGGGCCTTTTAAAGAAGAAACCAGAGGTATAAAGCTGCAAAAACATTATTCATTTAGTGTCACACTCAAGAACAAAAGACAGTATAATAGTATTAACCCTGGACCTCGGATGTCTAGTCAGAGTTCTAAAAAAAGCTTATTGCAGTTTCCTATTGCTGTCATCAGGATAATAACATGCTTGAATAATTAAGAATTTCAGAATATGAACGATTCGATCGAAGAAATGTCGTCAAGTTTATGCATCAATTCAAACGTCGCGAATACTAAGAATTATTGTATTAAACACAGTATTTGGAATGGTACGTGCAACGTTTCTATACATCGCGTAACAAGCAAAATGTAGAACATGTAACATGGTGTCTTTAAAATGTGGAGAATGGCTCTTCTTATCTAAACTGCGCGGTGTTAGGTGGCGGTTTGGCGCGTGCCACAATTTTGTTTCATACCAGCATGGTACCACATTTCGGCTACCGTGAAGCAAGAAGCTAACTGCTGAAGCATTAAGTTAACCCTTGTCCTGTTGGCATTTTTACACAGTATTTTTCAATGTTTTTATGTCTTAATCAGGTCATAGACCCCTGACATTTTTTTGCCATGCGGTGCCATAGTCGTTTCGCTGCGGTGTGATGCGTTGCACGAGAAATACCCCCAAATCGTACATGTTCAAGGAGCTGTATGGATGGTACTGTATGTGTAATCCATATATATATATATATATGTATACATTTTACCTTTACCGAGAAGGTTAGTATGTTTTTGGCAGCGTCCTTGTGTGTGTTTGTTAGTCTGTTTACGCGATAACTCAATAAGGCTTTGACGGATTATCTTGATATTTGGCAGATGAGTAGGTCTTAATGAGACCTCAAGATGATTAGATTTTGCCCTCTGGTGACTTCTTATAGTACTGCAGCGGAACTTCCGGTTTTGATATTTCTTACTCTGGACATGTTTGTTTCCAAATTCTATTGTTACTACCCTCTTAGGAAGACCCAGTGGAGGTTATTGTCCAATGAACTCCGTTGTAGGAAAGTTGGGGCCTAACACAGTCCCGCTAACCCAGTTCTCATGTCTCCACGCGAAGGCGTCAGTCAACATCACTAATGTGAAGATAATGTGACAGTAAACATCGTTAATATGAAGGGTATGTATCCAGTACTGGCAGTAGCGCTGACACGAGTTGACTCACACATATCTATTAGCACTTTATGTGGCACTTTATTCTTTCAACACTACAGACCACACAACGCTTTCTATCAAACTAACAAATTAAAATGTTGTCAGAAAATAATCAAATGTAGCCAAATGGGGAGAATGATTTGCCAGAGGAATTTGACAAATATAAGCTAAGGTTTCATCATGGGGAATGTTGCCCTTATCATATGTTGATCACTCTCCTGGCCTATTTTTGCTAATTTTTACCATTCATAACCCTTTTTGAAGTCCTGGTAGAGGCACCCGCCCAACAGGCTTTTTTTATATATATTTTGGGTCATTTGGCTCTTGGTATCTTTTATTACGCCAGTCAAACTTCGGATGGCGTATTCGATACTCTCTTACCAATTTGATACTGCCTTGAAGTTGCCAATTTGATACTGTATTGCCAATGTGATACATGTACTGTATTGCAGCACCAAAGGATCTGCCTGGAGACTATCTCTAGGATGTCTAATGTTTCCCTGACTGTCGGTCATATTGACTCACACTTAGCTGCCGGCGGTGCACCGGGCATGGGGCAAACTGTACACCCAAACATGGGCATGCCGTCCGCGGCTGTTTTTATACAGAAGTCAAACCCTTCAGACATAGTTTTAGACATAGCTATAGTTCTAAACAATTACCTTTTATTATGTAGATATTAAGTTATTTTGTATTTTGTTTCTATGTTATTTTATTTTTGTAATTAGTCTTCGGGCAAAAATTTGCAATAAACTTATCTGTCATTTATACCTGGACGCCTTAAACTATGACTACGTTTTAGAGCTGCACAGAATGAATAATAAAACAATTTATAAATTATAGGTAGAGCAGATGACTGTTAGAGTTGTGCATAATTCTACTGCAGTGAAAAATAGAATCAAACGCCGAAAATTTAATTTGAAACTTCTTGTAATTCTTTTTACGGGTACCAGCTCTTTGGGAATGGTTTTGGTTATCATAAATCTGAAAAATTGACAGTTTTTCATTTAGGAATTTTTAGAACGTATCGTTGGAAATCAGGGAAGCATGTCGCGAATGTCCAAGTTTAGCCTGCTGTATTAGCGGCCCTGCGGCATCGGCGAGTTCCTTCGTCTAAATTTAGCAGGTCTTGTCAACTTGGGTAGTCTTAGCCGTAACTTAACGCTTCTGGCAGGGGCAGTTCAAACCACGCAAGGAAAAAGAAAAGATATAAAAAGAAAAGATACAAAGATACAAACGCGTTAAAAGATTGCTTCCTGAGCTTAGAAAGATTCATAAGTTACCACGAATTTTTCCACAACATTTTCTGTGACTCTGCCTGAGGTACTAAGATGTTTATACTAGCTGGTTTGTACTAATTATTGAACAGTCGGCTTGAGTAAGCAGAGGGCATGTTTGCTACGCCTACAAATAGCCCGACGGGCTCAGCATGCCTTCCTAGAACTGTTGAAAAAGAAAGGAAATCTTAAGATCCTAGCCGTAACTAGACCCTGCTGTGAACATTAAGCTAAGGGAATGCAACTAGTTGAAGTGGGGGAAAGTGTGCGCGATTCGTGCGAACCTAAGACCTCACATTCATCAGAAAAACGCCCGCATCATTTGGACCCTAGCCTCTGTCAGGCTTCGGGAGGGGGCTGAAAAGAGTAGAAATCGGCCAAATAGAGAAATATAAGATGCCAGGGGAGTTGGCCCGCTAGAGAGTACAGTTTGCCTGTAATCCTGCAAAGGAGTCTGGTGGAGACTAAATGCCAGCTGTGGAGGCGAGGCTATGAGAGTGTAAATAGCTGGAGAGGAAAAGACTGGCCGGCCATAGTATGACATAGAGGGTCCAGTTTGCATGAATTGTTTGCCTGCATAGTAGGGCCTGTATAGATGGCCGGCCAACTCCCCTGGCCAGCTTCATTAGTTTTAGGCTGGTTTCTACTATTTATTCAGCCTGCAAAACAGTCTGATGGAGACTATATTAGTGTTAATAGCCCGGAGAGGAGAGGACTGCTAGGCGTGCGACCCTCGGACCCTCCAGCCGGCGGCATGTCCGCCACTGGTCCGAGACGCGGCCTTATGTGGTGATGATATATATGTGACAACACCTCCGGGCTGGGCTGTCACTGCAGAATCTAGCTGACTTAATCTTTCCAATCTTAGGATAAGTTCAGATCTGCGCCAAACATGTTTGTACGGACGGCAAGTGTACAGAAATAAAATAAGAATGCCCTGTCGCCGTTCCTACAGAATCCGGCTGACTTAATCTTTCCAATCTTAGGATAAGTTCAGATCTTCGCCAAACATGACTATTCGGTCAGGAAATGTACGGAAAGAAAATAAGAGTGCTCTGTCTCCTCACACTTAGGACAAGCGAGAGAGATGCTTAGGACAAGTGCAGGTATTCTAGTACTTCCCTGGACTGTACGAAACCGGGCGGTTCGTACAGAAAATGTACAGAAACAAAAAAAAATGTCCTGCCGCTTTACACTAAGGACACGTGTAGATAGTCTGGTACTCCCCTGGACTGCACGAAACGTGAATGTTTGGGCACTAAACGTACAGTAACAAAAAGAGAATATGCCACGTCTCTTCACACTCCGTCCAAGTACCCCCCCCCCCCTACATATCTTTCGTCAGGACCTATACCCCGGCTTATGTGGGCTTTCCCTCCAACGA